TGCGAGAGTGCAAAAAAATCGACTTGCGCCAAAGTTGCTTCTCTGATGTTTAAATAAAACAATTGGGATTTAGGTATTAAATCGGTTTTTGCAGATCCAAATAACATCCCTAACAAAATTAATCATGCCACACATATCAAATATCGAGTATCAAACATCAACGAACATTTGTGCGCGTGTGTTTGTGCGTGTGTGACTTTTCTTCTGCAAAAAGCATATGCAATGCATTTCACTTGATACATTTAATTCATTCTCTCACACCGCTAATCCCAACATATTACATGCTGTGGGCATCACTTTGGCGCAAGTCGATTTTTGCACTCTGGCAAACAATGCCACATGTTCATCGAAGCGTGAACACATACTACACAAAAATGATACCAATATATATGGGATAAAACAATTTTTTATAAAATGTATACACAATTTACTGTTCATAGATAACAAAAATTAATAATTAGCAATTTTCTAGGTGTAATTTTTTTGACTCACACGGTATAGCCTTTACAATGTTTGAGCAATGTTATCGAGCAATTTAAAAATATCAGTTTGGTATTTTCTTGGGTATATTAATGCATGGTGCCTGGCTAGACGTAGGTATATTTTTGATTGGGCACTTTACAATTTATATCATTATCGGAATTTATCTTGAATCAAGAAACATTTGTGGTGTTATCGGAACAAACAAAGAAGGATGGATTTTGTATTTTTACAAATAAAAACGGAAAAGTATTTCTACAATAGATTCAATTGTATTTTCAAATACTGGGTGTAAACAAACGCCTGACACTTTTGATCTGTAATAAATTCTAAATTGGTAAGCAAACATTTTATTTCATATTTATGAGGTACCCGTAGCTGGTTTTCAAAGAAGTGTAGACATCAATAATGGTACAGCTTTTATTCATGTTTACATTATTTTGAATTATTTTCACTAGACTGCTAGAGGATTTCAGATTTGGGCTCAAAATTACATTGTCTACAGATGCATATGAGAGTATTCAGTGTATGTATCAAACAATAGCATTTTACTGTCTATCTACACAATTTTTAGTACAACCGGGGGGGGGGGGGGGAGATCGGCACATAATCCGCATTTTTAAGTGAAGAAAGACAAGAAACTACCTACCATCACATCACGGTATCGATAGGCAATTATGCTCTCCAAACTCCACAACGTGTAGGCCCGGATGAAAGATTTTTTGAAAAGGGGTATCGTTTGTTACACGCGCCAGAGGCCTAGACTCTCATAGACCACTATTCAAAATGAAAATTTGTATAGGGGTAGAGTTTGACCAAAGTTGAAAATCCTCTTCTTGAAAGAAATGAAAATGATGATAAAATTAAAGCAAGTTCTACCATCTATTTCTACCCCAGACATTTTGTTTATACAATATCTTTCCGTCAACTATCGAAAATTAATCAACATGCAACGTACCTGAAAACAAGTGTTCATTTTTGTTCACACCCAGTAAGTACATTGAGCTGCTTGGTGCACTTGTTTTCTTTGTTATTTTTTTTCTTCTACAAATCATCTTTTTGAAAAAAATTACTATAAAGAAGCCACACATGAATAATGCATTAATGAAAAAATCAAATCAAATTTGGTGACAATGGATGTAAGCCCTTTTGGAAAGGAGTTCTTCACTATGTCATTAACAAACTAGCTAGATTAGGGAGAGTATGCCATTCCAAGAAATGCCTGGGTCACAAACCACCGGGCCCTTTGCGATGTAATTTATTGTATAGTTGATTGTTGTAAAGCCCATAGAAAATTTCTTATTATGCGCTTTATACAAATTACTTTATTATTGTCATTATTATTTCCTCTACCCGGCGGCCTGCCATCCGGAGCTCGCCCGGGACACGAATTTGCGATTCCCAAACCATTCAGCTATGGGAAACATTTTGAGCAACATGATTGGTTAAAAAAGTTATAAAGACACGCCCACATCGACGCGAGCCATCTCATCATGGCGTTGCGAATGTGTCTGGGGCCAAGTCCGAGTGAACCATCAAATCTTCAAACTGATTTTCCAAATCTGCATGTAAGTAGATATTTAGACCCTGTATTTAATTATTTTATTATAAAGTCGCCATGATCTGATCTGTGTCTATGACTTTTGGAATGATGTTTGCATGAATGGGCTGCACATAAACAATGGATAACAGTGGGCCTGTATGTGCCTGTAGCTAGCTCGCGTGTGAGTGCATTGTACCTAACAGCATAGGGTATGTGCAGTCCTGAGTGTTTTGTTGAGACTAGCCTAGCCATGACTAACATTGTGAGTGTTTGTGTGTCTGTGCCAGCTGTGAGCGAGCCCGAGCGTGCAGTAAATGACGTAATATTTATTTCTTCTCTCGACCAATCACGTTGCTCATAAAGTCTCCCATAGCTGAATGGTTTGGGAATCGCAAATTCGCGCCCGGGACCCGTACGATGAGGGGCCATTTACCGTTTTAACGGTCAGATGAAAACGCTGGGAGCTACTCAGCAATACGGCGCCCGTACGGCTGATAAAAAATACCCCGGCGCCCGTATAGGAACTGTACAGGAGCCAGCCGGACACCGGCTGAAAATCCCCCAAAATGTCTGCTTTTACTCGCCGCAAGGGCGCAAGAGTATTTGCCCCATAAAGAGTGTCATTTTACAATATACTGCTATTATCAATTCTCTGTTAATACTTGGCTTCACGGAGTACTTCTTCATAAAGGAGCAACGTACGAATACGTAGTGGCGGATCCAGGGGCGGGGGCCCGGCCCCCCTCTCCCTTGAAAAAAAATGTGTATTTTACATTTTTTTTAACGTTAATTTTTACCTCTTTTTGGAGAAGCCCCCCCCCCCCTCCCTGGCGCTCAATGGAAGGGGGGAGGGGTGCAATTTTGAACATTGGGTGGATAGTGATTCTTTACAATTTTTGTATATTTGGATGCCCCTGTGGATATATTGTACGCACAAACAAATTTAGACCCTAAAAAACTTCTGCTTTTGAGAAAAAAACGTGAATATTGCTCCCGGTAAATTTTCATAAATTTCAAATAGGTTCTACGGCCGTACAATGGTAGCTGCGACCATGAAAACCTCCGAATATGTAGTTGTGATGTATAATTTCCAAACTGGAATATCTAATCGGTCGATTTTAATCAAGAAACATTGTTTTATAGCTTAATTAATATCTTGAGAGAGAGAGAGAGAGAGAGAGCTATACAACATAAACAGTTTATTATTTACAATTTCGTAACTCATTAGACTCGATTTCAACCGCGACAACGATCACTAAATATTTTAGGATCGCATATGCTTCCAATCTGTTTATTTGGAAAAAAATCATGACCCCATACCAACATTTTGTTTTACCTTTAATAAAGATATGTTTAGACAATATCATGTAAACACGTGTATAGTTCCTTAAAGAGAAGGTTCATTGATTAAAAGAAACTAACTTTAATGTCATTTCTGCACAGGTGACAAGGCTTGGAAACATTCGAAGTAACGCTTAGATACAGCCCCGACATAGCACCTGAAAAGCTCCCCGGTCGCTGCTGAGATATGACGTCACATGTTGAACATGATGTGCACAAACAGACGATGTCCCATGACATCTCACACAATTTCAGTGCCTGTTTTGTCATCTTTTCTTCAGTTAATTCTCTTATTTCAATACCCTCAGGCGAAATGTTTACTCTATTGCCTCACCCTAAACCCCGTGCGTGGTATTATTTTGATGAAAAATGCAAGAATTAGATTAAAAAAACGAATCCGTTGCTTAAATTGTAAACAAAATAAGACGCCATTGTATTTTCAGCTGTATACACCGTGGCATGTTCGGCGTTTCAAGAGGGAACAAAATGACGTCAATGTGAAAGTGTGGTTTCTTTGATTGTTCATTAACCCATATCCAAACAAAAATAATTTCGTTATCAGAATGGAGGTCATAACTATTTTTGAATGGTGTAAAATTCCATCACATTTATATACACTAAACTCATTATAATTTGAGAAATAAAAGCATTGCAATTATGTTCATTCTTTATGGAATGTCGTCTGCTTGGCCAGGGTTGGTTCATATTGTGACGGCATTAAAATATCGTTATTTCAGGCGAATCTCTGGCATATCCCAGATGCTATGAAGGTTGTTTTATTTGTATTTTTTATAAACCCCCCGATATGTAGTTGACCTAAAACTTGCATGATGGCCATCTGTTAGCTTACCAGTTTCTAGTAATACGCTTTTTGCCATATTTGTGATTTTCTATGAACCCGCACTTTAAGATGAGTCACGAAAGTAACTGCATTTCGGCCAGTGGACACTTTTCGTCAATCGTAGACTCATCTCGCTGATCTAGGAGACACATCTCGCCAGTAGAATTCGGCGATGTGTCAGCTAGACGCATCTCGCCAGGCAAGAAAAACAGGGGATGGAGACAGAATAAGAGGCCTATACACTGCAAACCCGTATTTGTGCGATACAGACACGAACTAAAATAGTGGCTTTACAGGTCAACGTGATAGAAACAATGGAATCGTTACATATTTTCAAAGTGTCGATCTCCTCCTGGCTTCTTCATTCTTTTTTTTCTCCACGATTTTCAGTGATCGAAATTGTTTCAGTAGTCTCTCTCTCTCCTCTCCTGTGATATGTTGTGTTTATACTTTAATCCGTCTCTTTTATACACCTTTCCCTTGTTTCCTTCTCATACTCTATACAATTCCCACTTCTCCTTGAATGACTCATGTATTCATGAACCATTTTATGATTAGTAATAAAGCAATCGTTACTTTATATCTCTTATTTTCATCGTAATAATAATAATAATAATAATGATGTTGATAATAATTAATAGTGATAATTTTGCTAACAAAAATCCTGATATTAATGATAATAACTGTTGATAATAATAAAAATGATGATGATAATAATTATATTAGTTTACACACGTCTTAAATTGTCTGTATTAAAAACATATACTGTATGAATCACACATGGACTCAAATAACTATTCAGCAGTCTTCCCTATTGGAACATTTATTTCAATTACTAGTGATCTCTAATGAAAAATATATATCAATACAAAAATATATCATACGAACAGAAATATATAAAAAACATACATCCTTGAAACATGAAAGACTTATAAGGGGTAATACCCTAGTACTGTATAATGAATGACTTTGGAGGAACATGAATATAGAAATTAAACAAAATATATATTACATATTTAGAAACATATTTTAAAATGGCAATGAGACAAAAGAAAGTACGTGTGCGTTAATAAATTTACTTGCATTGTGCTACATGACACATCCATTGTAAGCCTGCTTTGTTTCAATACATCATACATACATTCATGTATTTTTATTATTTTTCAACCCAATTCATTTCTACATCATTATTAAAGCGACATGTTTCTAAACAAGAGAAAGGACCTACGTGAAAGTTTTGGTTACACTTCTCTTAATCTTTATTTAATCTGCATAACCTTTTAATTAATTAACTAAACAAACAAGTCCTTGTTACACATTCCTTTAATTGAAAGGGAAGCAAGTGGGGTACAAAATATTCCTGGTGGTGGTGGTGGGGGGGGGGGGGGGGGGTTAACTTTGGTATGTGACAAAAGTGCACGAGGTAAAAAATATTGTTTTTTATTCATAAAGGAAATATTTAAAGTTACTGTTTGTATTGTTTTAGTGCTATGTATTTACCCTACATAATCACATTATTCTGGGTACTTGATAGCCCTTTTCTACATAATTTGAAATTAAATCTATTCACACAAAACCATATCAATTAAAAAGAGTATTCATCTAATATATATATATAAAGAGAGAGAGAGAAAGAGGGGGATGGTATACTCCCCGCTAACATAAGCATTTGAAATAAAAATATAGAAAATTTGTACTATTTAAAGTCTTAAAATTGATCCGCATTAAGAGCATGAGATAGGAATCAGCTATTTAGATAACAGTTAAGGAGAAAGCACATTCATGATATTTTGTGAGATAAATATAAATCACTTGATCAATACATATATGATATCGAACCCATCCTGATTAACAATGCAGCCCTTGTACACTCACAGATACAGAAAATCGTATTCAATTCATTTTTATATTTATCTTCAAATATTTCTATATCATTAGTTTTATGTTTTTAACAAAGACTTGCTGACAAGCAGTATTTTTAGACTGATTTGAGTAAACCTTAATTAGTATAATAGTATGATCGTTTGTAACCGAGACTTAGCATGATTACATCAATTTATTCAGTCAATCGGTTAAATGCAAATACCGTAAGCCCTTAATTAATATAATAGTATGACTGTATACACTTTGATATTTAGCCTATCAAGGGGGTTACTTTGTTGCCTGGCAAAAATGTCACAGATAAAAGTGCAAGAGGTAAATAATGTTAGTTATATTCATAAAAGAAAGATTCAAAATTACTGTTCGTACTGTTTTAGCGCCATGGATTGATCCCATATGATCATACTATTCTGTTTACTTGATAGCCCTGCTTCCTACATCATATGCATTTAAATCTATTCATACAAAATCAGAATGCTGTATAGTGTATTCATCTAATATATATATATATATAGAGAGAGAAAGAGAGGTGTTATACTCCCGCTACCACAAGCTATTAAAATAAAACTATAGAAAATTCGTACTATTTAAAGACTTAAAATTGGTACATGTTAAAAGCATGTGATAGGAATCGGCTCTTTAGATAACAGTTTGGGTAAAATCATGTTTTACCACATTTTTAATTTTTTTGAAACATGAATATAAATTACTTGATCAATAAAGATATGATATCAAACCATTTCTAGATTAACAATGAAGCCCTTATATATTCACAGATACAGTAAATTACATTGAAATCATTCATGTACTTATATCCAATTCGATCTGTATAACATTAGTTTTATGTTTGTAACACAGACTTGCTGAAAAGCAGTCTTTTTAAAATGATGTGAGTTTAACATGATTACATCAATTCAATCAGCCAATCGGTCAAATGCAAGTAAGCCGTTAATTGATAAAATAGTATGGTTGTTTGTAACAGAGACTTGGAATGATTACATCAATTAAATCAGTCAATCTGTCAAATGCAAGTAAGCCCTTACTTAATCTAATAATATGATTGTATACACTTTGATATTTAGCCTATCCAGAAGAGAACCCATCTATCCATAAGACGTAACTAATTCACTAAATTCTTTTCCGTTGTCATATTCGTTCTTTGTCCGAAGGTAAGTTTCTTGGTGATCAATAATGCATGGGATTTCGCTCCACACCGTTGTACTGTAATAAAGAAGAGTAGAACAAAACAGAAAATCAAAGTTTGACAGAAAATACATATCCTTTGGTATTAAAGTGTACCAATCACTTAACACAAATAAGTTATGTATTGCTAGAACTAATAAATCAAACTTCAACATTTAACCAGGCATCTAATGGATTCACGGTTAAAAGGTAAGGATATAAAACAGTGCACGTGGAACCCAAGTTGGACTTCGGTTCCGTGTGAGCCCTATTAGAAGCGAGTGCTGAGGGTGCACTGCAAACTCTATAGTCTACTCACAAATTTCTTGTATATCAATTGAGAGTGTTATAATAATTTAAGTTAAAATATTTAAAGTAATATCTCTAAAGCTCATATTTGGAATCAAGTGATACAACATGGAACTAGTAACATATAAAATATTCTATTTTCTGGTGATCAGAGCACTCTAAAATAGAAATAATAAATGAGGGGTTAGAGAAAAGACACAAATGTGACATGACAAGCATTGTAAAATAACTTATCAATTAATTAAAAGTAATTCCAGTATATTAAGACTGGGAATGGGTCATTTTCCTAAGACGGTCAAAGTGGAGGTGTCATGGTATAGTGGTCAATTCACTTGACTTTTAATCCAAGCCAAGCAATAATGTCCTTTGACTGGAATTAATCCACATTTACTAATCTCTACCAAGGTATTTATGATGCGAAAGTCAGTGCAGTTTGCTTAGCATTGTGGTTTTCTATAAAATAGCACTTGGCTGGGCTGTTGGCACCTCAGGAGAATGTGTCTACATTTGCATGCATTGGGTGCAGGCAAGCCTAAATCCAATGACCAATGGTAATACTATAACAATAAAGTGCTTATAGACATTGCCAATGTATCAAGCCCTATTACAAACCAAGATCGTTATCATTACTTAAATTAACATTAAATAATACATATAAAGAATTTTGAAAGGGCAGATTAACTTTCCCACCAATTTAAAGGGGTAACTTATGCCAATCTTGTATAGTTCTTGGGAGAAAGGAGTTGACACGTTGCAAAGTTCTTCATTCGATGACTCTGTATGCATCAAATGTCCACAAACAGTGGGTGAAAAGGCCACGCAACAACGCCGCCGAGAGAGCTCAGATTTTATGTCTAGCCCAGAAGTTGTAAATTGGCCCATGACATCTGATAGGTGGCATACCGTATTACAAGTACTCAGAGCCATAAACACAATAGTTTGACCAACTTGATTTCAGTTGGTCAGAACATGGTGTATTTTTGTTCAGTGTCTGGCTATCATAGCAGTATTTGCAAATCTGTGCCAAACTCAAATATGATTGGCCAAACTCTCCTGATAAATGACACTATGAACGCAGAGCATTGTCAAATGCAAATAATCTTCTACATACCGTTTCACTCCCATCTACCACATAGGGAGTCCTGAAATTGCGATCTTCATGATGCTGTTGGGAAGACAAACAATAATAAAAGACTTGATAATTTCCTTTTCTTTTAAAACATAATCTATAAAAATCATTAAATCGAAAAGTATACTGATTAAAACAGATAATCAAGAATATAGTTGTATCTTGAACAATAAACAATTTAAAATAAAACATGCCGCACTAGACATGTTTATTCATTGTTTGCATAATTTTTAAACAAATGTTTTTCTTGACTGCTCAAAAACTTGCCAGAGGATTGTCCAACATAGCAAGAAATAATGTAAGCAAAGTGAACCCCATTCATAGAGATGCAATTATTAGCGGGTGAATGGAATGACTGGTAATGGGGGAGAAGAAACATGTATAAGTTGAAACAGTTAGTAAAATGGTCTATTCAATGTGATCATTCATTGTGCAGCTGAATATAATTCCTTACCGATATTCAGATATTGACATTTACGTGGATATTTCAAGCAGTAGTATAGGTCCTGGAGGCTATGTACGGGATGGGGGGGGGGGGGGTGGCGGTGCACATTTACCATCCATGCCTTGATGATTTTCGATGATAAGGGCTGTTTTGTTTTCACTATTTATTGTCATGTTGATAACCCTTGCTGTGCCAGGATCAAATTCATTGTATATGTTGCATAATGATTTATGCATTGTTTCAAACACACATTGCTGGAAAATGAAGTGCAGGTGTTTGAAAACTATATATACTGTTTTTCTTTTTTGTAAATTATAGGAAGCCTTTGGTGTGTCTATTACATGATAAATACCATGTTGAACAGGGAGATTATCTGTGAGGTATATAAACACATTGACAAGGAAACTGTTTGTACCAATGCATATCAGGGAGGTGAAAGAAAATAGTGAAACTCTAGTAATTTATTCAAACGCATTTGTGAGTTCTAACGCATGATAATGGGATGTGTAGCATTCCACTTGGCTTTCAAGTTCCATGCTTCTAGCCGCGCTTCCACTGCAGGGAATTTTGGAGGCCAGGCACCAGTTTTACATTTATTACAAAATATTGAATTACCTGCAAAATTTCAGTCAAACTTACAAACTTTATATGAGGATTGTATTGGGGACAGTGCATCAAACAACTTTCCAAATTTAGAACTCATCCCTTCCTATGATTTGTGTGCCAGATTTGGTAAAAGAAAAATTAGATCCTGCCAAAAACTCAATATTTTAGGATAATTTGCTACTTTGTGCATGTTTTAATGTCCCACTCATTATTTAATACATGATTTAAAATCTTCGACAACATTAAGTTTGCTAATGCGTGTTTTTTGTATTTTTTGCAGTTGGAAAAAGGATGAAATTACACAAGTTTGTGTTCGCTTGTTCTACTCATTACACATTCAACAATTGATGATAAATCATTGAAAAGGATAGCCAACAGTTGCTGGGATACCATTTTCGGATGTAAAAAATTTCAATCCTGAAATTTCATGCACTCTTTTATCTCATCACCTGGTGAACAGTTGCAGATTAGCGCATAACTTTTTTGCGGCTTGTATCATGGGGTCAAGTGAAATTGGCTTGATTCCACTCCTTTCTTTCACCTCTCTCGGTATATAAAGCAGTAAACACATTGAAAAGGAAACTGTTTATACCTGTGCATCAGTTCCGCGCAGTCGATCCAATGCTTGACCAACAGCATACCGGCGTCCTTCAAGGGAGTTGTACTCATCAGAACCATTGAAAGATTCGTTTCCATAGAAGCCTCTATTTTGTCTACTTGGATTGTCATACCGTTGTTCACTGAAGAAAAAAACAGCATTGTTATATATTTTTTTCTTCATCAGTGTAAACATTGTAAGAAATAGCATCACCAAATGTATAAAATGTGCCGAGACAGAAGACCATCACTGAGAACTGTGATGGGCCAATCAAGTGATTCACTGCATCTCAAAGATAAAGGTTTATAATTATATAAATAAATGTAGACAGGTCGATAGAGGTACGGTATGTAAAAATAGGCAGCAGATTGATAGATAGGTTGACAGATAGTTTCTAACTATCATGCATACAACATGTCAAGAAGAGTTAAATATTACTTGGCAAGGCACCTCTAGATACATCTAAGGCAAGTCTAAAATACATATATAGGTCCCATAATTTACTAAGTATTATTGAATTGTATTAAGGCATTGCCATCACGAAATTGTCAACATAAAACTACCATTTAATGTTTTTTTATCCGATTCAAGTCTAGAGCTATCATCTTGCAAGTAAAGTCGTCTTATATACTTAAATCATAGATGTGGTCAGTAATAGCTTGAGCTTTTTTATTTGTTAATTTATTGTAATACTCACGCGAGCATCAGTTTTGTTGCTTGATTTCGTCTGACACCTTGTACGAAAACGCAGCAGACACAGGTTATGAGGACGAGAACAAAACCAAAAACTCCGAGAGCAATACCAATGATTGCTCCATTCGACAATCCTTGAGAAGCTGCAAAATAAATGTATCAAATATGCGATTAGGAAAAACAAGACCAGACAAATATACATGTACATGTATGCAAAATCAGCTGTGACTGTGCAAAGAAAAGAGAGTAACCTCACATCCATTTATTGTAAAACTGTATATAAAATCATATATATATTTGTATATATATAAACGTTTATGCCTAGGGAGAATGAGTGAGAGAGGGCATAAACACACTAAAAATGACTAATTACACAACTTACCATTCTGGCAAAGGTCTCCTGTAAAACCAGCTGGGCAGTTGCAAGGCTGTCCAGAAGAAGTACATGTCCCACCGTTCTGGCAGTTCGTTTGATCGCACTGAACTGTTCATTTCAAAGATATAGGAATGATTCAAATTACTTCTGATCACTGACCAACTTATTTTGTCGTTATTTATTGACAAGGTATAGACAGTAGAAAACACAAGAACTCCCTTAAACTACTCTAATATGAACAAATAATAATAATAATACAGTCTACTGAATACTACATGTGCTTCGACAGCTATATGTGTACATTGTTTGAAATTGCCTAATTTATACAACTATAAGTATGGAATATAATAGGTAGCATCATTCTTCCAGCTTATTTTGATATCAATTTTGTTGGGCATCTCTTCATGGTTGACTGCACAGGCATAGAATACCTTGAATTGGACAATGTCAAACTCCATGTGCACCAGCACCATGCCTTTTCTTGCCTTGATATTGATACATAACAATCTTTGATTCGATATTGTATGATGACATAACAATTGGTTCAAATGCAAGTCACTCTAAGATATCATAATTTGAAGAATTATTTGTCCCAAACAAATTTTAAAAACAAACACTACTTGCTGTATGTTAAAGTGTATCTCAAGAACAAAATCTTATCCCTTGGGTGTATCAGATACTCACTCTAGCCCTTAGTGATCTAGAGTTCATTACCATTTAATCTTAGATATGATTTTGCAAATAATTAAGGACCATCAAATTAAAATCACAAATGTTTAACAGTTGCAAGGCTATTCTAATTTCTGATACAACAAAGTATCTGAAATTAACTTGTCGATTGTGTCCATTGGTATTGCCTGTCATTTGCGAAAGTGGCTCTTTATACAATGCAGACAGCTGAACTTATTTCAAGATACCCAGTCACAATCAACACAATTATTTGTTTTGAGAACTGTAAAGCTAATCTTTTGTATGTGAAATACAGTATCATCTTGTAAGGTGTTAAGAGAAGAATGGCTGGTGAAAAAAGGCTGGATTTTACTCTTACCTTCTGCTGATATAGACGCTACCAGAGTTTGACCATTAGCTGATAAGTTTTGATCAATGTTGGTAGATAAGGCAGATAAAGTCACAGCAAGCCCATCTGCTACACTTTGGCTCTCAGCAGCAAGTTGCACTTGCACGTCACCGACTACGCTACCTTGGCTGAATGACCGCACTATGCAATTAGCATCAACAAGTTGAGAACCTAACTGTTCCCTTACATATTGGCTAAACTGATAAATGAGAAAGTAGAGAAAACCAGAATCAGAGTATGCTTGTATACATATGTGTAGTTCATGTATATTTCCTTTTTTTTCTTCAAAGATAATGTTCAGTCCCAGTCATGCACTGAAAATTCAAAAGTATCAGGGTGATTATGTAGTGCACACAAATTGATGTAAACTATGAGGTTCTGGAAACATCAAAATGATCAGAAATAAAAGACTAATAAACCATAGCAGTGTCTCCTCTTACTGTAACAACATTTTAGCATGATCTTTTAGATCTAGAATGCTATGAAATACACAATAAACAAGATGTGAAACGGCAAAAATCACCCCCCAAAAATCGTCAGATGCAGTACACTGTGCCATTTTCAAATCGGAGCGATTAGATTATAACTAATCATTTATCACTATTTTCAAGTACACATTGGCAATTTTGAAATTTACTTTTGCACTGGTTCATTCAATAAATATTCAAATTTGTATGATCAAACTATTAAAGAAGGAGTGGAAATAATATTAATTGCTGCTAATGTGAGGAGGCAAAACTTATTTATTTAGAAAAATAAGAAAACTCTGAAGTCTGAAGAGCATGAATATGACTGCGCCTCCAAGATGCCTCTGGTAAGTTGACCAATGTTCCTCTGACTTTGACATCAACCCATTATTTTAGTGAAGATATATTTTCTGGTAAGTTTAACGCTTTCATGACCATGTGACCTTTGACTTTTGACATCTTTCACCCAAGATCCAATCAGTTCATCCTTGAATGCTCATGCATACTTCATCCAAGTATGTTGCGAATTGCTTCATTGTGTTTTCAAGTTATTGCGTAAACAAGATATATGTTTGGTTTTTGAAAACACACTGATGAGCCTGTGACATTTGACCTTCAAGTTTTAACACCAAAAATATAGTCAGTTCAACTTTCCATACTCACATTTGTACATATTTCATCCAAGTTTTGTCAAAATGGGATGAACGGAGGACGGACTGGCAAGACGATAAAAACAATGTCTACAGTAGACTACTGCACTACCTGACATTTGTATGGACATCTTAATGTGATATATAATGTATGGTGATTATGTAGTGTGTTGGATTTGCAAGCTGAAGAGACACCACTTGTACATATTTGCGTCTACAAAATTGTCATCAATTTTCTCGCATTTACTGATGAAGAAAAATATACTTACGATGTAACAGAATGCAACTTCATATTCAATGAATTTGGCTGATGTCCTATCTGTTAATTCTGATGTATACGTCAGGGGTTCACCATTCAGACTTTGTCCTGTAATCTGCACGGTCACTTGACTAGTGGACAGACTGCTTGAGAGAGCTGGATATACAGAGAAAGAAAAACAAAGACAATGGCATGAAGCCAAGATATTTTTGGATACTGCAATGTGTTTCCTCCATGCAAAAAACATGAATACATTCGGTTTTGTATTCTCATGAAACAAGATTTTCATAAGGAGACTACAGACGGAAAGTGTACAATATATGCAATACCAGCCTCGTCAGATGAATTATAAGGAATGTATCAAGTCATTTTCATTTATGTAGACTTAATTATTTATACCCTTAACAGTTTTGTAATTATTTAAGTACTTGATAAATAGTTTTCTCTCAAGTTACATCTAAAAGTATTCAACAAAGTCCCTAATTCAACTAATCCACCTTTTATTTATGAGTAAGGACAAAAGAATAAATATCAAATCTATAAGGGGTATCAGTAATTAAGTTGGTAACTGTTTATAGGTTTGACCAATTAACATTTGATGAAAAATTTTGCAAACATTTTATAAATGCATGCCTTCTTTCTAGATTAAATGGCCAAATTCCCACTACATTCTGTCTGGTTTGAGTTATTTTGAATACTACTCATTTTTTTGTTTCATTATTAGTTGTTATAAAGCCAGGGTAATAATCGGGAGCGCCAGGAGGGTCAAATCTGACTGACATGAGCGCTATACAAGAACCCACTATTATTATTATTTATTATTATACACTTTTGAAATCACATGCCAAAACTAATAAAAATTCGTGTTTGAATAATGAACTATGTCTTCATTTAATTCGGCATGAAAGTGAATTATCTTGATATTGATTTGTTTGTTTTTGTCTTCCTGTATTTCTAATTTCACAAAGTTGATCATGAAACCCATATTTTTTCTTATGGAAAAAGAACAACTTGTATTTAGACATACCAGTGCAAGAATTTTCATTCTCTAACATGAATCCAGCATTGCAGACACAAGTGTATGATCCATCCACGTTGACACATCTTCCATCACTACAGAGACTCGAACTAAGCTCACACTCATTAACATCTATAGCAAAGTGGTAAAATCAAAATGTGAAACAATCTCATGAGTTACTTTACTAATGATTATAATATTGACAATTATAATTATGATAATAATAATAATAATAATAATGCTGATATCGATGATTGTCGTTGGCTTATTTCAGTGGTTGAATTCAGTACATGCAATCGCATTGGCAAAAACCTGAAAGTGATTGGGAAAAGGTTGATAACATTTTTAAATTCTTTGAGATCGCATTTTGAGATTAAACAAGAGAAAAAAAAAACATCTGAAACATAAGAACGTTTAGACTCTGTCCCTATCGTGAATTACGAGAACTTTTTCAAAAATTGCTGAACTCGTTGTAAAAATATGAGATCATGGTGAACACAAGAAGTAGGAATATATTTGCCTGTACCCACAAAAAGAAAGAAAATATCCCCATTTCCTTCTTTTATATGATGGCAAGAAAATGCTATGATTAAGCTTACCTGTTTCACACATATCCCCAGTAAAGCCAGCAACACAGGCGCAAGTGAAAGAGTCAACTCCATCGGTACAACTTCCTCCATTTGTACAAGGATTTGGAGAACAATCGTTGATATCTGATGGTTGGATTTTTGATACAAAACAACAATAAATAAATGCATGTAGTAAGTAGATAGATAAATTAATTAAAAATAAATAAATGAATGAATGGGAAAATGAATTTATATTTATGACAAATGCATGAATATATGAATTCATTTTTTACAAAACATAAGTAATTATAATACAGCCCCATCTCTAAAGTAGATGGTGTAATAATGTATATTTTCTGGCTGTTTTTTAAATGTTTCACAACTAGCTTTATACATGTATATGACCAACCTTAACAACACTTAAAAACATAACATAGCATGTTCATGTATGTCTTAAAATTATCAAAATATGAGAACGAATTATTATCCAATAAGCAATCAATATTCAAATCAAATGAAACCAAATAAATCTGTATTTATTCATTTTATCCGTTTTTTAAATTCTAACAGAGTAGCATTGTCAGTTAAAACAATGCTGTCCATATTGGCCTGTTGGCCTAGACAATAATAGGATTAAGTATTGAATCAAATGACCAGGGTAAAAGTATATCTTTAAAGTGCCTAGAGACATTTGTATTAAGCGCTATATAAAAGCGGAATATTATTATTATTATCATTATCATTATCAAATATTGAAATTATACACAAATAAATTGCTAAATTCTATATACATATAACCAATAACGATTTAAGGCAAACTAAGAATAAATTATCAATAATGAAAACGAATGCAAAGACTTTGTTGAAAATTACAAGAAAATTAAAATAGAATACCCCCAAAACAACACACCAAAAGACAAATAAATAAACAACATCAACATTAAAATCCAACCCACTACTAACTATAACAATGCTATTACAAACTAACATAATTAAAGGGCACTCCAAACCTTGTAATAACTTCGTTTGCGTGAAAGCAGAAAAAACAGATGAACATGATGTCAAAAGTTTTAAAGAAATCGGCCCAATAATAAGAAAATTATGGATGTTTGAAATATGAAATCACCACATTTTTGCAAATATCAAAATAGCAATAAGTGGATTGTGACGTAGTGCAGACAACTCCCTCGTCTGTCATGTACAGCATTAATCTTTTTCTTCTAAGTGCCTTGTCCCTTAAGGCACAATGGACAGCATAGTATTATAACTATTCTTAAAGAGAAATAGCATCACCAAGTCATACATTAAAAAAAAAAAATTCTAGTCATTTCATGTGCAAATGGAAAATATGGGAAAGATGAACGCCAGTACATCAAAGAGATATATTACCGATTCAGCCAATTTGAAGAGAGTGAGACCATACTTTTAAAAAAAAATCAAATCATAATTTTCTCATGTTTTATCTGATTTAATTCAAACTTTCACAAGACTACTTTTTTGTTTTGTTTTGAGTAGTTTGCTATCAAGGTTTCATTTCCCTTCTAAGGAAAAGAAATGAGTGATGTGGAGTGAAAACTGAATTGCCTACAGTAATAGCAACATATTTCGGGATTCGATCAAATCCCAATGCTTTGTCGTTGATAAGAACATGTGTATCAGCTTTTGAATTGAATTATTTAGTATTTCTTTATATGCATGGATAATCTATTTACTTATTTATTACTTATTTTAATTGTGACTATTATTATTTATTTACTGATTTCTTGTTATTTGTATATTATTATTATTATTTTCTTAGTACTTACTAATCTCGCACATAGTACCGGTAAAACCAGTAACACAATCACATAGTCCAGAGCTTACGCAAGTTCCGCTATTCTGGCAAACAACGGAGCCACAATCAGCTGCACAAAAAAAGGGTGAGAAAATGATAAATGATTCAGATCCTAAAGCACATTAGAGGATGTCGTAGTCAAGTGGCTACAACACTCAAGGGCGAAGGCATACATAAAACTTTGCGAGGACCTGTAGTCTATTGTCCGAGTACCAAGTCTCCATTCATTTTTTTAAAATTAGAAAATGAACATAAACATGGAGAAACATATCCGTATATTTACAGGAACCTACCAGCTAAGTTTGTTCAAAGAATCTTAAAATAAATTCACACCAAGACCATACATGTTCTTTTTTGAAGACATGCAAATATTCAAAGAAATTCACAATTTTTGAAGAAAAAGAAAGTTGTAAAATCACAAGTTTATGCATAATAAAATGAAAATACAATTATATATGTTTAAATGAAGAAAGAAACTGTAGTATATTACATTATTTACCTAATGTAAAAGGTTTATTCGAACTATTTTTTTTATCTGCACAAGCTTATAGCATATGGCAAGTACAAAGTCGATCAATACAAAATCTGTAACGTGGTCCCACATGTAGAAATCCACGTGCTGGATGAGCTAATATGAGACCGGGCACCAATCCTCATGGTTGAGGCCCAATTTACGAAATGAAATGACTCAGGCCTACTTCTCATTCTAAATTAAAAGGAAACTACTGCATTTTCAGATAAATATCGAAGATGATTTACCTGCTGTACAAGTATCTCCGCTGAAGCCAGAAGCACAAGTACAGGTAAAGGTGTTAACTCCATCAGTACAACTTCCACTGTTCATACAAGGATTAGGCGAACAATCGTCGATGTCTGATTTGGATGAATAAAAGTTGTTAAAATTATATCCACAAATTAGAATAGGAATATTTCACGGATGGTTGTATTTCAACTTCAAATATGTATGCGTTTTGGTGCATACGTTTTCATTGTTTTGTCTTAGCAGGGAGGGCGTTGTTTCATGAAACTTTTTTAACCAAAATCTAATTGAAACGCATGTTTAACTTAATTAATATATGCTAAAGATATTATATTCCTTTTGCAGCCAACATCAAATTCTGTAGAACTTTGCAGGAATTATAAATATGTAATGTATGTCCTATCTGTGAAATTTAAAAGTATGCAGTGTTCTTATATTCAAATTATGCAAGGAAACCTGTTTACTTGCTAGACTTTACTGTCAGACACTATTGAGTGACTGACCGGCTTTTTTTCTTTCGGTAATGACATACATGTACTTAAAATGAGCTGTAGAAGGTACATGAGCATATGTCTACATCAATAACCCACTTCCTGTAATGGCCAAAATTAAACTGATTGATCTTTGTGTACAACAAAACGTATGACCATTCGGTACGATGGTCTGAAAACCAGACTATTACTTACTGACTTGGTAGCACTCAAGTCGATTTGACAACTAATATTCATTATTTATTAATTAATTTATGCTAAAGATACTATGTTCCTTTTGCAGCCAACATCAAATTCTGTAGAACTTTGCAGGAATTATGAATATGTAATGTATGTCCTATCTGTGAAATTTAAAAGTATGCAGTGTTCTTATATTCAAATTATGCAAGGAAACCTATTTACTTGCTAGATTTCACTGTCAGACACCATTGAGTGACTGACTGGCTCTTTTTATACTTTGGCAATGACATACATGTACTTAAAATGAGTTTTAAAAGGTACATGAGCATATGTCTACATCAATAACCCACTTCCTGTAATGGCCAAAATTAAACTGATTGATCTTTGTGCAGCACAAAACGTATGACCATTCAGTACAATGGTCTGAAAAATTCGACTATTACTAACTGACTTGGTAGCACTTAAGTCGATTTGACAACTAATATTCATTATTTTCTCACTTAAAGACATTTTCAAGCCCCATTTTTTAAGGGAAGTTCTAAGTTAGTATTATCTTTCAAATACCGTTGGAATTTAACCTTATCATTTTTTGGGGCCTGCAAATGGGACACAGTACCTTTAATGGGATGTCAGTGAACTTGTATTTATGACGGTTTCCTGAAACGATGCCCTGAGTATCTACAAAGTTTTAGAATCATCATGATAGCCAGAGAGAATTTCTTTAAAATGAAAAATCTTTAACACTGAAAAGCAATTTGTATTATTTTAAAATCTCACCCTTTCCTCAGACGAAAAACAAAGGCATTAACAACCACCACCACCACCAAAAAAAAAAGGTGATATTAATGTGTGAAATAGAGTAATTTATTGACGGAATCACAATTTCCGATCTTCTCTTTAAATGATCATGCACTCCATTTTGAGGTTGTACGTGGTGCTCCGTGGGTGGCCCATCTTTAAATTCCAGATGAGAAGGAGCAAATTTTAATTGATTTTACTTTACGAAAAAAGAGTTTATTTATGTAGGTATGTAATCTGCTTTGACTTTATAGCTTTACCTGTTTCACACATATTGCCAGTAAAGCCAGCAACACAGGCACAGGTATAGCTGTCCACTCCATCAGTGCAAGCTCCTCCATTCATACAAAGATTAGGAGTACAATCATCGATATCTGTGCAAATTGAGTTCCAAAGACATTGAATGGGATGAAAATGACAATAAAAATAATTTCCTCTTTGACAGATTTACCATTTTGGTTCTGCCGATAATAGAAAAATCAAGTAAAAACTGGGATTTTAAACGTGGTTGAATGACAGTTGAGGAATGAATAACTTCTTTCGCAATGGTGAAAATGGACACAGAAATGTCCTGTACATGGTCCGAGTTTCAAGAAACCTTAGTCACAAAATATGAATCGATATGATAAGGAACAGATATGTCTCTCCGATCGTACCTTAAAACAAATCTAAGGAATTGTACAATAAGTCGTCTTGAATGTAAGTGTTATGATTTAAATTGATTGTTGGTAAATGATGTTATCATTAAATATCATGAAACATGTATATAGCGTTAACTTCTTGTGGTGATTGTCATTGTGCAGAAATTATAAGAATGACCTGAATACAGTCAAACCTGTCTATAGATTATATCAAAGTGAAGCACAACAATTAAGTGGCCACTGTAGGCAGGTGTCCTTTCTAGACAGGTTCTTTATATGAACACACCTTTCTATCTAGAGGGAGGCAATGAGGGTAACCAGTAAAGTCGGGTGGCCTTTATAGAGGGGTGGTAGGTGGGCACGGTTGACTTTATGTGTATTATGAACAAGTACGTATCTTAAAAAAAAAAAATTAAAAAATCGTTTTCTGGAATGAAAATACCGAGGACAAATCCCAGTTTGTGACATACCTGTTTGGCATGTATCTCCTGTATAGCCAGCAGCACAGTTACACGTGAAGGAGTTCACTTCATCAACACAAACTCCACCATTCATACAGGGAGTAGTAGAACAATCATCAATATCTGTATGGGTTAAAAAATAGTAATCATATATCAATTAAAATGTGAAGCATAATAAGCCAGTAAACAAAGAATAATATATTCAAAGCCCATACTCATAGTATTGGATACAGCTTGGTTTTTGTAGCAGTTTCACGATGCGTTTGTTCATAAGGACAGGGGCAACTTGAACATTTATAATCAACAATGACATCTATCTTTAAGGAATAGCACAGATTGAAGAAATGCATTGTTAATAGCCTATTAACTGTTTCACAATTTCCAAATCTTGCCAGGGTTTCATTCCCCTTTAAAACACACAACATAATATGATAGAATAAATTAAAGTTCCTGCATTCTTAGTTTAGTATTAACAATAACACATTAACATATACAGATTAACCTGTACACCTGTTTAACCTACGAGAAATCATCATTTGTTCAAATGTTTTATATCTTTCATATATTCATAAATATTTACTTCCCTTCTTTAGGGGGGGGGGGGGGGGGGGGCTGGGGGGGGGGGGGGGGGGGGGGGTGGGTACTTACTTGTCTCGCACATAGTGCCAGTAAAACCAGTAACACAACGACATTGTCCATCGCTTATGCATTCTCCGTTATTCTCGCAAACAGCGGAGCCACAAACAGCTGGAAAACAAAAGAGAGAAATAAAAGATGATATAGATCCTAAAGCACAATTGAGGATTTCATAGTCAATTGGCTACAACACTCAAGGGTGAAAGCATAACAATAATACAAGGACCTGTAGTCTATTGTCCTTTCTCTGTTTAAATTAGAAAATGAACTTAATAGAGTACCGAAAGCTGTGACGTCTTAAAAATCTATTCTTAGAATTTCTCAATTTTTTCTTCATATTCCGAAAGAACATGAAAAATAATGTCCAAATGTCGAAAACCAATTGAATATGTTAAGTATTGGCTGAGATATGACCATCTGAATAAATATACTCCCCATAGGAACTCAGTGTTATATGCTCTGGCTCGTAATGGTTAGGAGCCAGAGCATATAACACTGAGTTCCCATAGGACATATATTCATTCAGATGGTCATATCTCAGCCATTAACATATTCAATTGGTTCTCGACATTTGGACATCATTTTTGATGTTCTTTCGGAATATGAAGAAAAAATTGAGAAATTCTAAAAACAGATTTTTGATGACGTCACACTTCACCACTCTATTAATGCAGAAAAACATATCCATATATTTTCAGGAACCCTGATAGCTAACTTTGTTCAAATTAACTTTAAATCAGGAAGATTACACACTAGGCCATACATGTTTGATAAAAAAGGAATTCCGAGAAATTTGCTGATTTTAAAGGAAACTGGAATCTTAAAATCAGGAGTCCGTGAATACATTAATAGTCTTAAATGACAGAACACATATCTATTAACGGAACGTGGAAATGTGCATGCCAATTCACCTAGTTTAAAAAGTGATATTTTAGCCACCATCGTAATCTTAGCGACCCATGTTTGAGCTCCATTAATGGATGAAGTCAATAATGTGAACTGCTCCCCGCTCTTGTAAATATTAAGATCATGGTAAAAATGATCCTGGCTTCAATCATCAGGGTCTGGGCTCGGACTACAAAACGCAATGGCTTGGGCCTATTTCTCATATTTATTAAAAAACAACAACTATTCAGATAAAGATTAAAAATGATTTACTTGTTGCGCAGGTATCTCCGTTGAAGCCATCAGCACAGACACAGGTAAAAGTGTTCTCTCCATCAGTACAACTTCCACCATTCATACAAGGATTAGGAGAACAATCGTCGATGTCTGATGTGGATGAATACAAGTTGTGAAAAATATGTCAACAAATTAGATAAAGAATTTTTCAAAAATCAAATCTCTAACATTGACAACCAATTTGTATTACCTTTGAATTTCCCTTTTTAACCTGATTTAAAAGAAATACTTAAAAGCATTAACAAAGATGTATTGAGCGCCATATAAAAAAAACAGAATATTATTATTATTATTATTGTAAAGTACAACCTCTTCCTCGGAAAAAAGGTAAGCAACAATATTGTTTTAATGAGATCGTTGTTGGAATTTAAATATCGACACTGCTTTTTAAATGAAAGTGCACTCCAACTGTGCCATGTGTCTTCTCGAAATTAAAAAGGAGTGTCGTTTCACTCATTACTGCAATAAAATGTGAATCATCCTCCCATCTTTTGTCTGTACTTTCACACCTTTTGTTCCTGAATGAATAAAAACCTAACAGAATTTTCTTTTACAATTACTAGATGTTACCTTTTTTTAATTTGCTTGTTTGTCTCTTTATTTTTAATTTCCTGATGAAGGAGAGAAAAGAAATCGTTGAATTTTATTTAACATAACAAATTGTGTGTATGAAGGAATGTAATCTGATTTAAATTTGAAGCTTACCTGTTTCGCACATACTCCCAGTGAAGCCCAGCAAGCAGGCACAAGTATAGCTGTTCACTCCATCAGTACAGGCTCCTCCATTCATACATAGATTAGGAGTACAATCATCGATATCTGTGCAAATCGAGTTTCAAAGACAATGAATGGGAAAATTATGACAAGTAAACTAACTGCCATTTTGACCGATTTATCTTTAAATTGGTGGATAACAGGACAATTTAGTAAACACTGGTATTTCCGATGCAAATTAATGGCAGTTCAGAATTGAATTACTTCATTTGCAAAATCATTAATAAATAATCAAACAAAGTAAATTAACTAATTATCTCTTTTAATAATTGTATGTTCAGAAAAAAACGTGTCCATGAAAAGAATTTAAAAAAAAAAAAAAAAATTATTGTCTGACAAACTGTTCCCCTGCCAGAAAAAAACGGTGAGTAAAATAAATGAGCTTTTCTTTGGGGTGAAATGAACGTAAGAAGGAATGCATACATGTCTTATACATGGTCGGAGTGTCAAGACGCCTGAGCCCTAAAATTTGAATAGCTATGATCAGTTAAAAAGACAGTGAAGTGGATAGAAATGATGAGAAAATATTTTCTTTTTTGACAGATTTATCTATATTTGGGAAATAACAGGAAAATTAAATAATTTTTTTCCTTTCTAATGCAAATTATTGACAGTCAAGGTATTAAATATTTCATTTAAAAAAAAATTTAATAAACACGTTTCTCTAAAACAAAATGAACAAAATGAACCAAATATCTCTTTTGTTGAATCTTTTTATAAATCTTGGCCTAAGAAAGAAATTATTTGATGGAAAAAACCTGATTGTCTGGCAAACTTGAATTGTCCCTACTAGAAAGAGAGGGTAAGTAAAGCGAGTGATCTTTCATTTGGGGGTAGAATAAATGGTGAAAACGGACGCAGAAATGTCCTATACATTGTCCGAGTTTAAAGATACCTTAGCGCCAAAAGTAGAATCAATATGACCAGGATGAAATATGCCACACTGATCGTACCCTCAAACAAATCTTAATTAACAGTACAATAAGTTGCTGTGAATGTAATTGTACAAATTTGAAATCATAGTTGGAAAATGATGATCATTTAATATCACAGAACATGTACATAGCAGTAACTCTTTGGGGGTGATTGCCAATTTAACACAAATACAGGAAAACATGTCTATTGATGCCACCCAAAGGGAACACAAAACATAGACGAAGTAGGCAAATATATGTATATATATATAAATATATGAACCCATATTTCTATTTGTAGGGAGGCAATACGAGTTACTGGTATAGACAGATGGCCTTTATAGAAGCGTGGCTACTTGGGCATGTTTGACTTTACATCTTTGTTTAAAACACCAACATGAAAATGTTGCATCCATCATGAAACAGGTTAGAATCTTGTCAAAAATCGTGTTCTGGAATGAAAATACTGAGGACAAATCCCAGTTTGTGACATACCTGTTAGGCATGTATCTCCTGTATAGCCAGCAGCACAGTTACAAGTGAAGGAGTTCACTTCATCAACGCAAACTCCACTATTCATACAGGGATTTGTAGAACAATCATCAATATCTGTATGGGTTAAAAAATAGTAATCATACATCAGTTAAAATTTGAAGCATAATTAAAGCCAGTAAACAAAGAATAATATTGCTAAATATACTACTCATTGCGGATGTAGTATCGAAAATAATATCGCTAGTGATATTCGTTTGGATGCAGACGATACGCCACCATGACACTCACCGTCCTGTCGGCAAACATCAGTCGATTCCATTCAGCAGACGGGCCGAGCCAGCGGCCCGTTGATTGGTTGAGCACCGTATGCGTCGGCCAATAGGCCTGGTGCATTAGCCGAGCCAGCGGCCGAACCAGCAGCCTGGTGATTGGTCGATCACCGTGTGCGTCGACCAATAGGCATTGTGCGTTATTGTTCTAATTATCGATTGAATTATAGACCGCTCCGCCGGCCTCCCGTAAAGTATAAAAGACCCTTGCTTACATTAGTTTTTATCACCTGACGAAGTGTTGCAGATAGCGCACAAAACGTCGTGATCTTTTAGATTCCTTATTGACCACATTGTGAGACAAACGAATATCACTAGCGATATTATTTTCGAAAGAATAATAAATTCAAAGCCCATACGCAAAGTATTGGATACAGCTTGTTTTTGTAGCAGTTTGTTCACAAGGACAGGGGCAACTTGAACATAATCAACAATGACATCTATTTTTAAGGAACAACACAGATTTAAGACATACATTGTTAATAGCCTATTAACTGTTTCACAATTTACAAATCTTGCCAGGGTTTCATTCCCCTTTAAAACACACAACATAATATGATTGAATAAATTAAAGTTCCTGCATTCTTAGTTTAGTATTAACAATAACACATTAACATATACAGATTAACCTGTACATCTGTTTAACCTACGAGAAATCATCATTTGTTCACATGTTTTATATCTTTCATATATTCATAAATATTAACTTCCCATTTTTTTTTATTTTTTTTTAGGGGGGGGGGGGGTTGGGGTAGGGTACTTACTAGTCTCGCACATAGTGCCAGTAAAACCAGTAACACAACGACATTGTCCATCGCTTATGCATTCCCCGTTATTCTCGCAAACAGTGGAGCCACAAACAGCTGCAAAACAAAAGAGAGAATAATAAATAATTTACATCCTACAGCACATTAGAGGATTTCAAAGTAAATTAGCTACAACATTTAAGGGTGAAGGCATAACACTTTACACGGACCTGTAGTCTATTGTCCGAATGTCAACTCTCCATTCTCCTTTTAAATTAGAAAATGAACTTAATGCAGAGAAACCTATCCATATTCTTAGGAACCTTAACAGCCAACTTTGTTCAAAGTAACTTTTATATCATGTAGATAACACACTGGGACATACATGTCTGATGAAAAAGGATTTCCGAGAAATTTGCTGATTTTAAAAGAAACTGGAATCTTAAAATCAGGAGTCCGTGAATAATTGCATAGTCTTAAATGACAGAACACTAATATCTTTTAACGAAACATGGTAATGTGCATGACACTTTACCTAGTGTCAAAAGTGATATTTTAGCCACCATCATAATCTTAACGACCCAAGTTTGAGCTCCATTCATAGATAAAGTCAATATATAATGTGAACTGCTCCCCGCTCTCGTAAATATTAAGATCATGGTGAAAAGGAGCCTGGCTTCAATCATCGGGTTCTGGCCTCGGACTACAAAACGAAACGGCTTGGGCCTACTTCTCTTATTTATTAAAAGACCACAACTATTCAGATAAAGACTCAAAATGATTTACTTGTTGTGCAAGCATCTCCACTAAAGCCATCAGCACAGACACAGGTAAAAGTGTTAACTCCATCAGTACAACTTCCACCATTCAGGCAAGGATTTGGAGAACAGTCGTCAATGTCTGATTTGGATGAATAAAAGTTGTGAAAATTATGTCCAAAAATTAGAATGGGAATATTTCTATCTACAAAGTTTATTAACTCTCTCGATCGTCAGAGGGAATTTTTGAAAATCGAATCTCTAATATTGACAAGCAAATTGTATTACCTTTAAATCTCCCTTTATTACCTGATTAAAAATTATAACTAGAAATGCAATCGTATCTCAACGATGTGCGTGCAATGACGCCATGTTTCTACGTGTCAAACGAAAGAGCTTTTCTTGGACTATCCAGAGCAATTTGTACGAAGTCTGTAGCTTCTGTGTTACTTGAGATAGGTGGGGCGAAAGAAAGGCCTCAACAGTGACCTTGATGGGATGGTATTGACTACACCTACGAAGTTTGAAAGAAACTGGGATAGGGGAAAGAACATAGAAAGGGCTCACAAGCACTGCGTGCAAAAACCAAGGGATTTGGTAGATCGTTCTGGGGGTCACTAAGCGTGAACCCGATTTGCCCCATAGACAATGCGTGTAATGCATGGGCGGAAAACGAACAGGATCTGTATTATGACGGGAGTTAAATTGTTTTTTCTCTCTCTCTTTATGTCTCTTTATGGGCCGTATTTGGTTTCATTGGAAAGAGAATTTCATGGTTGTTATTGTGAACCACTCTTTTTTTTGTCTATGATGATCCTATCGAAACACGTGATGTAAAAGAGATTTATAGGACAAAATGGCGTCTTAAATGGCCCCCTTGACCAATTTCAAAAATCCGGCCACGAGGTGCCCTGCGTATTGCAACTCGGAATGTCACTGCAAATTTTCAAGGAAAGAAAAGGACGTTTAGGGGGCGAAAAGTAGTCTGAAAAAATGACATTATAGCCGATATGTGTTATAATTGGGTGGAAACTCGGGGGAATTCGTATAGGTACCCTTGTTCAAATGTGATTTACTCAAAATTGTCTGTGTGAACATATACCATACTTGGTATCATTCGAAAGGGCACTTCATTGCGGTCAGTTTGACACCATCGTCATCTGCGCGCAATGTACTGCACGTATTCAACGCGCTATTACGTAATGCATAGCAAATTCATCATTTTTGGCGATAACTTTGCGAAGAGGGCATTAAAATTTATTCAACTTGGCAGACAGTTGTCACGTATATGGATACATGTGTCTGCCAAGTTTCATTGATGTAGGTATAAAGATCGCTAATTTAGAGCAATTTGAACTTTGAAGTTATTTCTCAATTTTCTTGAAAATGGCGAATTTGGAGGGCATTTTTCGCAAAGTCGGTCAGTGTTAGGGTATATAATTTTGTATATGGCTGGAAAGGGCATATGTTCAGGTATCTAAATCCAAAAAAGGGTACGGGTCTGCCAAGCCAAAATGGAGATAAGGCCACAGAAAGAAATCCCATTCCCAGAAGTTTAGAGGGCGCTATTTATGTTTTGCATAGACATTGGAGCGTGAAATTTGGCATGGCTATGTGAAATCATAAGATAAAGATACTGTGAGATTTAAATACAAAACGGAATTTATATGAGAAAGTTATGGCAGTTTAAGATTATTTAGGGGTCCATTTTTCAAGAATTTTAGAGATTTTTGACGGAGTCGGTTTCTGATGTGAATTTTGAGTACGAAGATGGCATTTTGAAGGTCAAGTGATACGTCGCAGATTAAAGAACATCTCTTAGACTATCTAGAGAGATTTGTAAGAAGTTTGTAGGATCTAGGATAGTGGAGATAGGCAGGAAGATAGAAAGGCCTTATAATGGACCGGAAACGGACAAAATGGCGCCTGGACGTTTACGCATGAGTGATTTCAGAAAACGAAAAAGTAGGTGACCTAGATTGGATATCAGAGATTACGCCTACGAAGTTTGAAAGGAATCGAGCAAGAGTAAAGGATCTAGATAGGGTCCACAAGCACTACGTGCAAAACGAATGGGATTTCGGACGCTAGGAAGAAGTAAGAATATTAATAACGTGAACGAAAACAAGGCAATGACGAAGGTCGTCATTGCAATTAACAACAGCATCAACAGGCAAATGATATCAATGTGTCAAATTAAGTAATGGATGGCAAAGTAAAACCCCTTTTCTCTGCAAAAAGGTAACAACAAATGTAAGCAGCATTATTGTTTGAATGAGGTCGTTGTTAAAATTAAATATCTATACTGTTTTTCAATGAAAGTGCACTCCAACTGTGCCATGTGTCTCCTCGAAATTAAAAGGAGTGTTGTTTCACTCATTACTGCAATAAAATGTAAAAACCTCCCATCTTTTGTCTGTACTTTCACTACTTTTGTCCCTGAATCAATAAAAACCTAATAATTTTCCTTTCCAATTACTAAATGTTTCTTTCTTTTTATCTTGCTTGTTTGTCTCTTTATCTATAACTTTCTGACGAGCAAGGAGCCAAATTTGTATATGTAGTAATGTAATCTGCCTTGAATTTTATCTTACCTGTTTCACACATACTACCACTGAAGCCAGCGACACAGGCACAAGTATAGGCGTTCACTTCATCAGTACAAGATCCTCCATTCTCACAAAGATTGGGAGTACAATCGTCGATATCTGTGCAAATTGAGTTCAAAATTCAGTGAATGGAGAGAAACAACAAGACAAAAAATGTCTCTTTTCACATATTTAATTTCATTTGGTGGATAACAGGAATATTGTGTAAAGCTAGTATTCTAAATGCAAATTAATGACAGTTCTGGAATGAACTACTTCATTTGTAAATCTAATTATACATAACTAAAATGAAGTAAACAAACTTATTATCTCTTTTAATGTTTGTATATTTTTGAAAAACATGGCCTTTGGAAGAAAATGTTTTGTTGTTGAGTTTTAAGACACCTTCGTGCCAAACGTTGTATTAATATGATCAGGATCAAGGATTCCGCACTGTTCATACCCTAAACAAATCTTAATCAGTGTGGGAATCAAAATATAAATTTGACTCTTTAACTGTTTGACCTCTTAAATGTTTCTTTTTATTTCCCTATTCGCTCTTTATCTTCAATTTCTTGATTAGCAAGGAGCAAGTGCTCTACATAAAAATGTGTACCATATGTATGTAGGTATGTAATCTGTTTGGACTTTATAGTTTACCTGTTTCACACATACTCCCAGTATATCCAGCAAGGCAGGCACAAGTATAGCTGTTCACTTCATCAGTACAAGATCCTCCATTCATACAAGGATCAAGAGTACAACCGTCGATATCTATGCAAATTGAGTTCCGAAGACAATAAATGGGATAAAAGTGACGAGAAAAATGATTTCCCTTTTGACAGATTTTATTTTATTTAGCGGAGAAGAGGACAATTAATGACATTTTGTACACGGTTTGGTGACAGTTCAGGAATGCATTACATTCAGTCGTAAAACTAATTAATATATTAATAAAATGAAGTGAATGAACCAAATATCTATTTCGTTGTTCAAATCTTCTCCAAAATCTTGGCCTTATAAAGAAAATATTTTCTTTAAAAAATCTGATTGTTTGGCAAACTAGATGTGCTCCTCCCAGAAAAGAGGGTAAGTAAAGCAAGTGATCTTTCCTTTGGGAGTGAAATAAATGTTGAAAATGGACACAGAACTTTCCCAATACAGGTTTGAGTTTTAAGACACCTTAGCGCAAAAACTTGAATCGTTATGATTATGATGAAATACACCACTCTAATCGTTTCTTAAAAACAGATATCAATTAGTAAAGAACATTGTGGGAATCATAATATAAACTTTGCTATTCAAATAACCTCTCATTTTCCCATGTGCCTGAATGTTTCTTTCTTTTTAATTGCTTGTGTGTCTCTTTTTAATTTCCTAATGAGCTATAAGAAATATTTCATTGGATTTTGCTTAACTTAACACATGGTATATGTATGTAGGTATGTATTAAATCTCCTTTAACTTTAACAATTACCTGTCTCGCACATCAACCCAGTATAGCCGGGAACGCAGGCACAAGTATAGTCGTTCACTTCATCAGTACAAGATCCTCCATTCTCACAAAGATTGGGAGTACAATTGTCGATATCTGTGCAAATTAAATTCCAAAGAAAATCAAGGAAATTAAAGACATTTATCTTGATTTGGTAGATAACAGGAAAAATAAGACAAAAATGGCGTATTAAATGCAAATAATGGCAGTTTAGGAAAGAATTACGTAATTTTTAAACTATTATTCAAATATTTCTATTGATGTTTGTATCATTTTCCAAAATCGTGGCCTTAGAAAGAAGATATTTTCTAAAATGTTTGATTGTCTAACAAACCTTGATGTGCCCCTGCCAGAAATAAGGGGATTAAAGCCTGCTATTTTTTCTTTAAGGGTGAAATGAATTTGAAAATGGACACAGAAATTTCCTATATGAGTTTCAAGACATCTTTAGCGCCAAAATAAAATTAATATGATTAGGAATTAATACTCCTCTCTTATCATTCCCAAAAACAAATCTAAATGAATAGAGATCGTTGTAGGAATCACAATATCAACTCTGCTCTACAAATAGCCATCCACTCCATTTGACCCATAAGTCTACTCAAAATCAAGATAAGTAACGGTAAAGCTTTTCTCATTACTGCACCAAAATATGGAACACCATTTCCATCTGTAGTCTGTAATATTAGATCTGTAGACTAAACAAAACCTCGAAAATTTTCCTCTCCATGACTGAATGGTTCTTTCTTTTTATTTTCTTATTTGCTCTTTATCTTTAATTTCTAGATGAGTAAGGAGCAATATTTCATGACATTTATAAAAAGTATATGTATGTAGGTATGTAATCTGGTTTGACTTTATAAGCTTACCTGTTTCACAACTACTGCCAGTATAGCCAGCAACACAGGCACAAGTATAGTCGTTCACTTCATCAGTACAAGATCCTCCATTCTCACAAGGATTGGGAGTACAATCATCGATATCTGTGCAAACGATAATGGATGGGATAAAAATGAAGAGAAAAATAATTTCAATTTTGACAGATTTTCTTTTTGGAGGATAACAGGAATATTAAGTAAAACAAATTTGTATTTTAAATGCAAATTAAAGACAGTTCAAAAATAAATTTATTTGTATTACATACCGGTAATTCAAATGAATTGATTTTCCTCTTAATGTTTGTATTTTTTCCCTCGAAATTGTGGCCTTAGAAAGTAGATATTTTCAGGAAAATCTGATTGTCTGACAAGCCTTGATATGCCCCTGCTAGGTGTGTAAAACATGTGATCTTTCTTTTGTGGGTGGAATAAATGTGAAAATGGACGCAGAAATGTCCTATACATGGTCTGACTTTCAAGACACAATGGAACTATGATCAGGAAGATATATGTCACTCTTATCGTACCTAACTCTGCTTTTCCCCATCCCCCCAATTTTCCTATTTCTTAATAACCTAGCATCGTTTAGCCATTCATGAATGAACCTGCATTCAATCAGCAGATGTACAAGATTTATTGTATTATTACCAACGCTCCTTCTCTCCCCTTTTCTTTTCTTCTCTGCAAGTCACTCTTTTCTATTTTTATTTGTTATTGTTGTATTTAAGTTGAGGGCTGCGGGCACGTCAACCTACTTTGCTTATTTATGTAGCCCTCCTGCATCTAATGTATGTTAATTATGCATTCAATACATTTGTTTAAATTCGTTTATTATCTGTATAAAATTATATACACTTAAAATATTGTATCAAATCATATTATGTTCATGAAAATGTATGATGAAAAAAAGAAAAAAGATGCAGAAACCAAAAAATCAAATCAAATCAAATCAAATAAAAAAAATCAAGAAAAGTGAAATTTCTCTCGTTGCTGCACCAAAAAGTGACAAGATGGATATTCGCCTGCATGCAGGCGAAAATCAGTAAAACATACACAGAATTTCTCTCTAATGACTGAATGTTTCTTTCTTTTTAATTGCTTGTGTGTTTCTTTATAATTTCCTGATGAGCCATGACAAATATTTCATTGGATGTTGCTTTACATAACCAATGGTATACATATGTAGGTATGTATAAAATGTAACAATTACCTGTCTCGCACATCAACCCAGTATAGCCAGGAACGCAGGCACACGTATAGTCGTTCACTTCATCAGTACAAGATCCTCCATTCTCACAAGGATCGAGAGCACAATCATCGATATCTGTGCAAATTAAGTTCCAAAGACAATCAACAAGAAAGAAGAGATGAGAATTTGTTCCTCCTTTTTGTTAGATCAATTCATTTTTGGCCGATAACAGGAGAATTATGTAAAAATGACAGTAAATGAATGATTTACTTCATTTGTAAAATTGATGAACTGATGAATAATTAAAATGAAGTAAATTAAAATTGAGTAATCCTTACATGCATATACAATCAATTGAGCCAAGCTCGGTTTGAATTGCTTTAAAACTTTTTAAGATGTTGCAGAAACGATATATTCATGGTTGGAGTACTTAAAATGAATGAAAAATCTCAATATTTCTTTCATTATTCTTTAATTCATTATCATTATCATCTTTTCATTTTAACTTTTTTTTTTTTTTTTTTTTTTTTTTCGGGGGGGGGGGGGGGGGGGGGGGGGGGTTTACTTACCAGTCTCGCACATAGCACCAGTAAAACCAGTAACACATTCACATTGACCAGAGACACATGCTCCGGCATTCTGACAAACAGCTCCACCACACTCAGCTAAACAGAAAATAAAGTTGTAAAATATCTGGTCAAGTTCATGTGTGTTAAGTTAACCCTATTTAGCCCGGGCTATTTTTAAACTGCATAGCCCGGGGGGGGGGGGGGGGGGGGCTTCTAAGGCCCCCCCCCCATATGATCTCGGCCGTGAAAATTTGCATACATCTTAAGTGAAGTGTATAGAATAATATGGTAATTTCAATTTTTTGTTAATTCACTCATTTGCATATTTATGGTAATTTATGCAAATAAGTTCATCAAATTCACATTTTTGCCCATAAATCAGACATTATTCATATTAAAAGGTTAAGACCAGTATTGGAAACGCCCCAATCTCAAAAAATGAAATGGAAGCTCTCATTACCAATCATGTGAAAGAATATGTTTTGACTAATACATGATGATAACAAATTTGCCGGGAAACCGCCTACTAATTCATATATTTGGTAAATTTGTTTCTCTCATGGTCTGTGAGAGATATAGGGTAGTCCCATATACATATTTCTGTGTATAGTTCTTGTAACTTTACGAAGAATGGGCCAAATTTCTTATCATTTTGATGATTCCAGAACCTTGCAGATGCTAGATGCTAGATGATCAACCTTTTCTGATCGATTCCACAACGTTTCTTTCACAATGCAATCGCATAACCATAACTGGTCTTTACCTTTAAGCATTCTTTCTCACCATATATATGTTAGACGATTTGGAATAATAATACAACACAAAAAATTGAAAGACCAAGGTTATTCCTTATGTTATCTACTGTTTTGATAATTTCTTATGTATTTCTTTGTTTTTTAAACTTATGTATTTTATTGTTTTTGTTGTTTTATTTCATTTCCAAATATAATTTGACCCCAAAATTAACACCTAAACTATAAACAAGACCAAATAACCAATGTTTTATCTCTTTATTTGAAAAATGAGATTTCCATAATGTTTTGTACACAAATCACAAAAATGAGTGATTTTCGGGCTGACATGCAAAGACAAAAGGACACATGACTTTGTAATGGTAGGTCTGATTTTCGAAAAATTTCTTTCAAAAGATGCGCAGGACTCGAAAGAAAAAAGTCACAAAATTTCAGTGCAAGATTTTTTTTTCGTTAAAAAAGCCCCCCCCCCCCCCCCCCCCCCCCAGGGCTAAATAGGGTTAAGGATGCTGTAGTCGTGTCAATGTTGTCAATGAAGCGTAATGGACACTATGTCAAAATAAAACTGTAATATTTTGCTGCCTATGTATAAGCTATAAATTGCCAGAATATTGGTAATGTCCAATACAGCACCCTGAAGACTCGTTCAGATATGACGCAAGAAACCTGGGCCCTGTTTCATAAAACTTGATATCAATAACAAGTTACAAGCTACTGTTATAAGCTACTAGAATCATGGCATGTGATTGGCTGAGAGCAAATTTGTCATAGAAATTTATCATTTGTTATAGATAAAAAGTTTTTTATCACAAAAATTTCGCTAAATTGAAAAAGATGAATATATTTCCATATTCTAAGCCTTTTCTAAGGGGTCCAGGGATATTTAATCTATTACATAGGGGTGAAAATGGCCTCCGGACAAAATGTAACGCGAGTTACCGTAACGTGAGTTACCGACATATTTGCTTCCTGCATTTTACTAGTCCATTGTTTCTTATCTTTAATATTGTGATCTTATACTAGTAAGTCTCAACCTACTATCAACGTAGGAAAGATTTTGTCAAGATTGTCTAGTATGAGGAGACTTTGCCAAAAGAGGGTCTCATAAAATTGACCATGTCCTTTTTTTGTAACGCGAGTTACCAAAATTCAATAATCCAAGAATCTAAAAATGTTTGTTCTTCAATTTTCTTTTTTGTTTCATTCAGTTGTTCTATATCTACCCTGTCCATGTTTGAAAAAAGTATCTTGTAGATCCTAGCAGTTCTAAAGATATAGGCACATTATCGTGTCAATGTACCCATTAGGTGTAACGCGAGTTACCATGGAATGGCCCATAAGGAGTTAGGCAAGTCTAGGTAAATTGGCACATGAACTGTACTCAGGAAAATGCATATGGAACTTCACAAGTATGTGGCATGAAAGTGTGGTCCGCAGCCTTTAGCTATTTTTAGGCTTAGTTTGAATATGAGGGCATTAGCATTTGGAAAGCCATTCTTTTCAGGAGAATTTTTTTCGGTGATATTGTTCCACAATAACATAGAACAAATGACAAAGCTCATACATTATTGGATATACATTCTCTTTATATAAGTTTTCAAAGGTAGAAGTTTTAGGTACTTGTACATACCGTCACATGTACTGCCATCCTCACTTATTGTAAAGCCGGTGTGACAGGTGCACATGTAGGTCCCATGGGTATTAGTGCAGTCTCCATTACCACAGGGATTAGTAACCGCAGCACACTCATCGAAGTCTAGAAAAGAAACAAATATACATTACAAACGAAGATAAATGTAACTGCATCTCCTAAATCCCCTAAATTCAGTTTACGAAATGGATGGATTTATTCATGACATATCACACTGAAAACAAAAAGCCTATCTATTGTGGTTCTTGAGATATCACAATAGCAAGGCAAAAAAACCTGTATATTAAAAAATATACCTCTGTGAACTTTGACTAAGCTACTCCAAAATCTATTCATATAGTTTTCTATGGTGATACTTACTATCTTCAAGTTTGAAGTTCATATCTGAAGTAGAGCTTGATAAATCCCTTTAATAAAAAAGCGGGGCAGACGTAGGGATGGGCAAACCTTAATCTTACAATTACATGCAGTAATATTAATGATTTATGATTTAAGTTAAAACTGATGCCCATGTTTATGCTACTGGTGAAAATCTTACAATTACATGCAGTACTGTAAATGATCTATGATAGGAGTAAGAACTGATTTTATGCTTCTGGTGAAAATCTGACCATTACATGCAGTACTGTAAATGATCTATGATATAAGAACAGATGCCCTTGTTTATGCTTCTGGTGGAAATCTGACCATAACATGCAGTACTGTAAATGATCTATGATATATGTAAGAACTGATTCCCTTGTTAATGCTTCTGGTGAAAATCTGACCATAACATGCAGTACTGTAAATGATCTATGATATAAGAACTAATGCCCTTGTTTATGCTTCTGGTGAAAATCTGACCATTACATGCAGTACTGTAAACGGTCTCGGTCTATGATATATGTAAGAACCGATGCCCTAGTTTATGCTTCTGGTGAAAATCTGACCATTACATGCAGTACTGTAAATGATCTATGATATAAGTAAGAACCGATGCCCTTGTTTATGCTTCTGGTGGAAATCTGACCATTACATGCAGTACTGTAAATGATCTATGATATATGTAAGAACCGATGCCCTTGTTTATGCTTCTGGTGGAAATCTGACCATTACATGCAGTACTGTAAACGGTCTATGATATATGTAAGAACCGATGCCCTTGTTTATGCTTCTGGTGGAAATCTGACCATTACATGCAGTACTGTAAATGATCTATGATATAAGTAAGAACCGATGCCCTTGTTTATGCTTCTGGTGGAAATCTGACCATTACATGCAGTACTGTAAATGATCTATGATATATGTAAGAACTAATGCCCTAGTTCATGCTTCTGGTGAAAATCTTACCATCACAGGCAGTACCACTATCGTTGGCCTCAAACCCACTGTCACAGGTACACTCATAAGTCCCATCAGTATTGTTACAGGTTCCATTCCCACATGGGTTTGGAATGTTTGCACATTCATCGATATCTAAATATGGGAAAGAAAACAGAAGAATAGAAGTAATCCATTGATCATTTTTTTCATCATAGTAATGTTGGTCTCAATAGTAAAACAAAAGGCCTTGAATACTTTCGTGTTGTAATTAGACAACTTAAAGTGAAATTCATGGAAAGCAAATTTGGCCTAATTTCAAAATGTATGCAGCACCTCAAATATAAAAGTCTTAAGCAGGCTGAATACAGTCTTCAGCATTTGCATGGTATTCAATGGTTTTCTTAAGGGGGGGGGGGGTCAAAATGAACCCTCATAATTAGGGGAAGTATCAACAATTAGATACTATTTAGTCACTTGGAATATCATATGAAAAATACTTAAAGTATACGGTACATGTATCTGAACTATCATAATATAATTTATAGGAGAAATGGATAGAGGAAAGGAAAGGAAGGAGTGATCGAGATTGAAAAAGTTGGGAGCAGATCACAGAAATTAATGAGTGTAGTTTTGACAAGAATTTTTGGTATTCTTCTGTAGAGTCATTCTGAAGGAGAGTTATGAACCATGGAATTATTTCATGAAAAAGAGTGTGGCTGTCTAATTGAAAATCATATACAGAATATCAGCATACCATTACAAGCCTTTCCGTTGATATTCCTCTCATATCCATCGTCACACTCACAACTAAACGTCCCCATGATATTGTTGCATGTTCCATTGACGCACAGGGAGGGATCGACTTCACACTCATCAAGGTCTAACCAGGGAAACATTTGAGAAGAGCATGTCATAATGAGCCTTTTTAGTATTATGATCATAAGAGATGGAATATATATTCAGTTACTTTTTAGTCTGCATACTTCGTATTCCTAACGTGATTAAAAGATCAAAGTTAAATAATGAATTCAAGTAGAATGATATTAATGAAAAGTAGAACGATGAAATTAATTCAAATAAAAAACTAATAATAGTAATTCAGGTAAAGATGTAGTACGTGAAAATAGATTGACTTGGGAAAAATCTTTTTCACAAGCAGAACATAGATTCGACAGTTGAACTCTTTGATTGATATTCTTACTTTCTAAATTTCATGAGAGCCATTTGGTGGCAGCTCGGCTAAACTTAAGTAGACAATAATTCAGCCTTTTGAACCTGTTCCCTTAAAAAAGACCCCTATACAAGGTGCCCTGAACAAATGCTACAGCTGACATCTGTAATTTCAATCAGATTTGTGGACGAAATGACGGCATTTATAACATTTTATTTTCTTTTATTGGGAAGGAAAGTTTCTTCAAGATCATTAGTCTTTTATTTCTGTAATAAATTTTGATTCTGGGGCTATATTTGTGAGGCAATACAATTCTCAAAATTTGCTGCTTTTGCAAGAACTTCGCTAGATGCAGAGAGAAAATTATGTCTGACGGCTTTCCATAGAATCACAATGTTGCGTATTGAATGATCCCATTTCATTAATGTTGCCTTCATTTACAAAGCAAGACCAGACATGCTTTTGTCAACAAAGCTGATTTTATGGCAAGCGGTCATGTGCAAATTTCTCGTTCCTCCTTTTTGCAAAAAAAGCCAGTTTTGAAAAGGAAATTGCATCACTAAAAAGCCCTAGAATCCAAATACCTAACCCCAAACTTATGATCTTGTATTGACGTAAATAATCATATATGATTGATACACGTCTGCAAAAACTCAATACACACACACACACATTATGATCTTGTATTGACTTTACATGGATAAAACAGTTGCCTATACAATACAGACAAACAAAACAAAACAAGACATTTTCTCAATGATGTCGTTGAAGTTAAAGATCTCAGCTTCTGTGTTCTTTTAGGGCCACGCACCCTCTTCATGTATTTTCATTATTCCATTAAAAATACAATTCAAACTGATTAAATGCAAATATATACACACAGAGAAATACATAGAAATTTACAAATTTATTAGGAAGTTACAAGTATAACAGAAGAAAGGAGAAGGAAAGATTATGCAACATAATATACAAACAAAAATGAATTGAGAGGTTTTCATGGTGGCACAAAGAACCTTGAGGGTTTTCTTTAGGCACCAATTCTGCAGGCTGTTACAAAAAGGTCGCATTGATGGTATAAATCAAAGATAAGAGTTCAGAATACAGATACTGAAATTGAATGAGAGAATTCAAAAGAAAAGGGGGCCAAAATGATTGAGTTTTGTTAAAAAATTGATATATTTTTAATGAGAAAAAAAAGGGAGAATTTATTCTTACCCTGACATTGAGTCCCTGTTGAATCTACTACAAATCCAGGAATGCATGAGCACATGTATGATCCCTCGTTATTTTGGCATATTCCATTAGCACAGAGATTCCCAGCATCGCACTCATTAATGTCTATACAGGAGACAATGGTATCGGTTAGAAGATGAAACCTTTCAACATTTTGATATACTTTATCAAATTTGTACACTAAAAAATAAATTACATGTAAGAAATGTGTCTTCACATGAAATACATTTACAAAAGAATTAATGTTTTGAGTTCTTACAGTATAGGTTAAAATAGTTATTATGTCTTAAGAGGCGATGAAGCAGATTTTAATTACTGATAGTACTTAGTAGGGGATGTGTAAAGCTGTGGACTGATTACAGGGGAATTCAACCTGCTCACAAGCATAGCTTCTACAGGGGTCCTGAAACCATTCCTTTTATGATGTAATCAAATTAATATACATGTATGTTGATTAATGTACTATTACCAGTCTCTTTTTTATGTAAAAGATGATTTGAATAAAATGAACTTGAACTTGAGCAAAAATCAGAAAACATACCATTACAATTGATACCAGTGCCATCTAGTTGGAACCCTACGTCACAGTTGCAAGTATAAGAACCGGCGGTGTTAACGCACGTTCCATTAGCACAGAGGGTGGAATCATCTTCGCATTCATCAATTTCTGGCGGTAAAAGGAATCAACAAATCCATACAGTATAACACTACCAAATAGCAATTATGCAACAAGGACAATTAACCCCTTTGACATTACTCCCTGGACAATTATCTACTGAAACTGCCCCCAGCAGGACAATAACCCACTAAAAATGCTCCTACCAGGAACATTACCCACTACAACTGCCCCGACTAGGACAATTACCCCCTGCAACTGCCCCAGTACAATTACCCCCAGGACAATTACCCCCTGGACAATTAACCACTGAATTCCCCCCCACCAGGACCATTACCCACTGCAACGGTTCCCACTTTGCTTATTTGGGTTTAATATCTTCTGGAATTGACTTGTGGAAAAATGACAACCAACAAAATAATGTCAACAGCGCACTTTTTCAAGTTGTTTACGACGCCAGATTACAATTTTTTAAACAAAATGTACGGGTCTCAAAGCTCCGCCATTGTAGTAGATGCATATTTATCTTGATTTTGCAGCTGGCTAGTGTGAATTTCAACTCAAATTATGGTATGACAATGTTTATACACAAACACAAATACAAATCTTAATTGTCAGGGCTCACAAGGCATCAAGCTTTGCTTATCTTGGAGCCCTGGAAATTTCTGTTTAAAATAAGTTCATGTTTCTTCATGTATGTTTTTAATGTATACTAATTTTATTTTGTGTTAAGAACTGAAAGGAAAAAAATGAAATAAAATGAAAAAACATTAGGGCAAACTGAAATGATATTTTCAATGCTCACTAACCTCTGAAGTCTCATACGTTGAACATGTCACATTGCTTGTATTTACAGGGTGCGTGGCTTATGAACCCCTACTATACTATATGGCCAATTCCAACAAAAAACTTCACTTTCCAAAAATAATTAAATCAGTGCTACCATTAAAAATATAGTATCAAAGAATAAATAGCTCAACAAGCTCTTTAATTTGAGTGGTACAGTAAAACCTGCTTTAATGGATACCTTTCTATGGAGTCCACTTGTCTGAAGTGGGAACTTATAAGGCCTCTCTATAAGCAGAAATATATTATATGTTTGGTATGTGTTACAGAAACTGTGTAGAAAGGACACCTGTCTACAGTGGCCAATTTTCCTTAGATGGCCTTTTTATAAACATGTATCAATGATTATAAGTACAAAAGGTATATGTTTAGGCATTTTATTCTACATACAAAATCTCCCCTTTACATACCAATACAAGCAGTTCTTGCTCCGTTTTCAGTATATCCGTCATTGCAAGTACAGAAGAAAGACCCAATGGTGTTAGTGCATGTTCCGTTGCTACACAGGTCTGCATCATCGGCACATTCGTCAACATCTGCAGTAAATAACAATTTACAACGTGTTATCATATTCTGGTGTAACTCATTGCAGTTTATAGTATTCCAAAATAAATCCCTCTTTCCTCCATACAGCATTGTGACGTGAATTGTGTATACCGGTAACTGCTATGTTAATTACATAACAATGTCAATTGATGTTGCTTTCATAGAAATTGTAAGTCTGTGTGTACAGTTCAATCCGAATTGAATGTTCCAACAAGTAATCTCCCTCCCCTCCCCATGCACTTCTCTAGGAGAGTTAGGGCAGTTTATGATGATGGCTTTTCCTTATGGGGTGGTTGTGGAAAGGGCTTAGCATTACATAAGAATCGTTGATCATAAAAGTGGAGACAACTCCTAGTGATTAATACCATCTAATATCTGGAAACTACCCAAATGGTGTCAATTTCCAAGGAAAACTCATGCTCATGTGTCGTTATGCCGTCCTTACCCTCTTGGTTGACTATATTTTCGGCTCCTAAAACTCCAAAGCGCTGGTTACTTGGTAGAGCTTTGTTGAACAACGATTCCAATACTGTGTCGTTGATATTTAGTGTTGTTTCAACATCTGTCCTGAAGTATATGACAGCATAGGGACTGGTCACATTCACATCTGATATTGAAGCCATGAATACAGAGTCCCCAAGTTCTGAAATGCCTCGGAGGAACAGCAGCATCTAAAGATAAAATGACACACATTCACATGAAATTCCATATTCTTCAAGAGTCAACAACTTTTTTTTCAGGGGTAGGAGGGGGAGGGGGGTGGGGGGGGGGGGGAGACCTTCATTTTCGTGTGAAAATTCAGATGTATTTTCATCAACATCACTACCAATACCTATAAAGCCCATAGTCTCCTCTGTAACATGACACCAGTATTACCATTATAATTTTATTTTAGGAGCGTGATTTCTTTGGGGATAAGCTGAGTTAATCTTTACAAAGTTTTCAGTTTAATTTTTTTTTTCTTCAGCCTCCTGTTAAAGACATCTTGGGAGTTTTCTTCCCTGACTTGAGCAGGAAGGCAATTAAGTGTAAATGTAGGTGTAACAAATCATCTCTTTCCTCTCTAGAGATGTAGTTGAATTTTGTTTTTTGTGTCATGTATGCACACAAGGGACACAGTGTGAGTCAAAACAAAAGTTTACACCTAGCAAATTGTTAATTATTTTAAAAATCATTTATGAAAAGTAAATCATTATAAACCTTATGAAAGAGTGTTTTATCCCAAATGATTTGGTATCATTTTTGTGTGGTATGTGGTCACGCTTGGATGAACAGAACAGGATTTCCCAAACAAATGGTACATACACAAACTAAGTCTATTTACAGAGACTAAACCAGAAAGTGAGTACCTCATATCGATATTTTTTTTGAACGCTGTAAAACGATTGGACAAAAATATAAGAGGGGAATATGGTGAAAGCTATGAAAGTTATTTTACAGAAATGTGCATCACCTGGACACACTTTCATGACCTGTATACATTTGCAACACCTTTATGTCTTGGCAACAGCTATAGCAGCAACAACGACATCAAACCCCGGCTCCTCCACTCAGTGTTATTTAGGGTACGCATATGCATGTTTCCTCCGTTTGAAAACACCCCCTAAGTCTGGTGTGTAAAGTCTTTTTTGTGTATGTATGAGCCGGACTTTATCAGACATTTTGGTAACACGCATAGTATCCCTCCGTTCACGGAGTGGGGGGGGGGGGGGGGGCATCAAACAATCATTTTCTTGATACTTCTAATCTGCTGGCCTATGGAATGCCTGGTAAAGTTCTTTTGATGTTGATTTCATGCATTTATTTTATAGTTTTAGGTGATTCCATGGTAATAATAATAATAATAAAAATAATAGGCATTTCTATAGCGCCGTCTATCTAGATAATTCTAGTCCGAGGCGCATTTATTATTACCCCGGCTTTAGCCTAGCTGCCGTTTATACAGCGATCCAGCATTTCAAGGGATTAATTCCTGCCAGGTACGGATTTACTTCACCTGGGTTGAGTGTGGCAAATGTAGATCAATGTCTTGCCAAAGGACATTAGTGCCGTGGCGGGACTCGAACTGCGGACCTTGCGATCGACAGTCTGGCGACGTATCCACTCGACCACGACACCTCTACACCTAAGTAAAAACTGTAAGTGGAATATACTGTTTAATACTGGGTTGAAGTGAGTTCATATGGAACTGTTTACTCACATCAAGTTCAAGTTGCTCTCGATTTTCAGCAGGTTCGATGATAGAGGGATTGACTGCAATGAAACCACCGACGATGGCTTCAAATCTTACCCTCAGGTTCAAGGTTAAGGACTCTAAAATATAATCAAAAAACAAAACAATTTGTATTCAATTAGTTCTAGTAATTTTTATTTAATTACTTCAAGGGGAGGTCCACCAGTATCATGTCAGTTTAAAGATGAAGTTGAGTTCTGGTCATGGGATTGCATTGTGAAAGAAACGGTGTGGAACCGACCAGAAAAGGTTGATCATCTAGCATATAAGAATTTGTGTGTATTGCAATGTTCTGGAATCATAAAAATGATAAGAAATGTGGCCAAGTCTTGGTAAAGTTACACAGAAAGATGTATATTGGACTAAACGAACACGTGGCGTAAAAAGCCCCCACCCCCCCCCCCCCCCCCCCCCCCCCCCCCCCCCCGATTTGTACGATGTTACATGCATATTTAAAATATGAAGGCATTTGAAGAGCCATGCTTTTCAGGGAACATGTCTTAACAGATGTTCTTCCACACTTGCATAATAAGAATGAGTAATGCTCACAAATTATTTTCTACTCCAACCAATAATATTACAGTGGACTTCCTCTTAGGTCTTTGTGCAATATCACAGATTTTTGTTCCAAACCATCTTTTTTGTTCACAGATATTAATGACTAGTATTATTGGTAATTTATGCAACCATTTGATCTATTCTGATTGTAATAAAATCTTCAAATCGGCCATTTGGCTACGAAAGATTGTTTTAATCAATAAACCATGCATGTGTTGAAAGGAAGGAGAGTTTGGGAAATCTAAACATATGGAGTAAACATTTTCATAAAAAAAGGACAAATGATGCTTATGTTTTCAAAATATCATGAACACGACATTATATTAAAGCCCCAAAATCACAACTTGCGAGGAGGCGAGATGGCCCAGTGGTAGAGCACAGGTTTTGAAGTGGAAGGACTTGGGTTCAAAACCAAGTTGATTTGCTGGTACCTTTGGTAAGGCCTTAATCCTCATTACAAATTCCCTGAGGACTAAAAGCCGTCGGTCCCCTGGTTGCTTACTTACAAGCTTTAAATACACATGTTTTCTTAGCAGTCAGGTAAAATAAACCATCAACCCGAGCCACTCTCCTTTAGAATATCATTTATTCATATTTGCTGATGAGATTATGTTACCTTGACAGGTTCCATCAATTTCAGTGGTGCCCTCAGTGCAGATACAACTGTAGTTTCCCACAATGTTGATGCATTCTCGATTGGCGGCACAGACAGGATCAACTTCTTCGCACTCGTTTGTGTCTAGATGGGGAAACAGGTAATAAAAATAATGGATCAAGCTCGCTATCCATAAGGACCGTTATTCATAAGGACCGCAAACCATAACGTGTGACAAAATGAATAGCGAACCCTTATAAATAGCGAGCAAACCATAGGCAAGGACCGCCATTCCTAATACCAATAATATAAATGATATGTGTGGTTTGCGTATAGCTTAATACCCCGACGATGATTCTAAGCCCTGTACAGATATTTAAACATATATTTGCAGTATATGTAGGGCTATAGAATTTTTTAGTATCTTACACTCCAAGACCGGACATTGAAATAATTGCTGGTATCAAGATTTTACAAGAAGACAGACAATGCTTTACCTGTTGCTTCTGAAGAGAGTTTAAATAACTGTTCCCTTAAAGCAATGGGATAATTAAAAACACCTATAATTATCTTGTTATGTGTACATAAGTTGTAGGGACTTTATTTACCTTGTCTAATGATAGCAGCAGTCCCTAATAAAGGTATATTTAATTTCATGAAAGAAAATTATTGTAAAGTGTAAATAAGTTTTTTGTTAGTCCTTTACGTTTCTTTTCCTCACTCATTTAAGCATTGCTTAATGGTAAAATGAGAAAAGATCCTAAACAAATTTGATTTTATCTCAAACAATGTATATACATGTACATCTAGTGGTATATAATAACTCTTTGATATTTAGAATGCTCGATTCATATTCTAGCACCGGCAGTGATACAGATTGGCGACCATAATTATACTGGACATGTACATGCAGTATGCTTAACTGAAAATGCTTTTAAATAACTGCCAAATTAATAATTTTGTTGACATACTTATAACATCACAAAACTTAATAGGATGATTAATTTACTTGTTAACTGTACATGTACATGTAGTCTCTTTGTCACATGTACGTGTATTTGCACCTTCTCGTTTATACGGTACATCATCATTGACCAAGGTCAGTATTTTCCCTCTTACAAGGGGATACTTAATTTCGCGCCATGATGACGCTCTCTCCCTCCACTTATTCTAATTTTCCCGAGCATCCTACTTATTTACAATGGTAATACAAAAACATAATAATTCCATATCATTTACCGATGCAGGTCTTGGGTGTATCATTCTCGTACCCAGAAGCACATGTACACACAAAGTCACCACCTGTGTTCTCGCATGAAGAGATGTCTGGAGGACAGGTGTTTTGAACGTTGTCACATTCATTAAAATCTGTCGGGAATAATGATATTAATAACAATAATAACAAATTGATTTTACAGCAAACAATAGAGAGTCTCTCTATAGATTTCTCCGATCAAGTTCAAACTACTTATATTTTATTTATTTTGTGGTTTTCCTGTTTTCAATTGTATTTCAAGAATGATCAGTAGTCTTACTACTAGAGATTATCTATGCCCTTTAAGAGAAATAATGACCAAAAAAAAGAATACTTAAACTAAAAATGCTTGAGAGAGAAGAAGAGACAAAAAGATAAGATTACGACAAAAAAAAATAATCTTGTCACAAAACCTAGAATTCAGCTGTTAGGAGCCAGACTGGTATTTATAGCTTTAACATAAACATGTCTTCAAACAAATTGATAGATGTATGATCCTTAACTTTTCTCTTCTTCTGACCATTTCACATTTCAAAGGGCCCATTTGATCATATTTTGTTCTTCAAATAGGCAACACTGATTTTGTTTTATTGCTACAAGGTTCTAATCAAACGTAATGTTTCGGGAAACGATATACATAGGTAGGAAAGTTGTCAAAAAGTAGGAAAATTTGTGAAAAACAGATTTTGATTCATGTGTATTCATGTGAATTCCATACTTAATGTATGATTCATATGTTATGTTATGTATTCACCACCTGTATAAAGATACCATACCTGTACAATTGCTATTCATATTCTCTCTCACGTAACCTTCATAGCACATGCATTCATAAGAGCCCTCCAGATTAGTGCAGTTACTGTTTGGTCCACAGAATTGAAGGACATCACTGCATTCATCTTGATCTACATATCCATAGACATACATTGGATCGGAAATGAAAGGATACAATATCAATTACAGATTATTTGTGCACGAACAATAGATGTAAAAAGCTTGTTAGTCTAAGTTTTGAAAAAATTATTTATCAACATGTCTTTGTGTACAACTACATGTTTGTAAAGGGATTGAAGTCATTGAGCTTATATTATATTATCATAATAATCATTTCTATTTATATTACTATTAATCTTATTTCATGTATTATCATTTCCATTAATATCATTATTATTATTATCATCATTATTATTATTATTATTATTATCATTAGCATCATTATTACTCTTATTATAATTATATTATATTATTGTAGAGGTGTCGTGGTCGAGTGGATATGTCAGCGGACTGTGGATCACAAGGTCCGCGGTTCAAGTCCCAACGCGGCACTAATGTCCTTTGGCAAGACATTGATCTACATTTGCCACTCTCCACCCAGGTGTTAAATGGGTACCCGGTAGAATGCGAAAGCTAATGTGGTTTGATTAGCATTGGCGCTTGTAAAATGGCGACTGGCTGGAATGCTCCCCAGGGAGTGGAGAATGTGCATACCTTGGGTGCGGGTAAGCATGAATCCGATGACCTGGGTAATAATATATATCTGTAAAGCGCATTGAGAGGGCCTGCGGTCCTGAAATGTGCTATATAAGGACAAACTTAACTATTATTATTAGTATTATTATTATTATTATTATCATTATCCTTCTTTTTATCATTATTGTCATTAATATAATCTTTATGATACATACCTGAGCAGGACATTCCATCTCCCTCGTAACCATTGTTGCATTCACATGAATAGTTTGCTGGAGCGTTCACACAAGATGCTAGTGGATGGCAAGTGAACAAGGATGGGTTCTGACACTCATTGATATCGGTACATGCCGCGTAGGGATCACCTTGGAAACCAGGCATACAGGAACATGTGAATGCACCTTCATTGTCTAAACAGTCAGCATACACACCACACGGGTCTCCATCACACTCGTCGATATCTACATTAAATGACAATATAAACATCATACAGTGAGACCTGTCTACAAAGAATACTCAAGAAAAGCAGCCTTTACATGTACAACAACTCTTTTTTTGTTTATGTTTAATTGAGAAACTGTATTGAAGAGAACCATAAAATGTGGTCTATAATAATAATAATTTGTAATTTAATTGTATCTCGTGCATAACAATTACAATTCAATTCTCTAGGCGTTTTACATTATAAATATTGGATAACATAAACATAATGCAGAAAGATATAATAACTGCAAGCGAAGATAGGTCTAAAGGGATTTCCTTAAAGTTTTGATAGAAAATACTTTTTTCCTAATTGTTATGAGTAGAGACTTCAACAGAGCAGGAGCTGATGTCACGATGGATTGGTTTTCTGTATATGTCCTTTCTATTCAGGTGGTCACTATGACAAGTAGGTTTCACTGTTATTAAGCCTATGTTGATGTAATAAACACACACACACACACATATACATGTATACATGCTCTGTTCATCAAATAGAGCTGTCTATTATTGTGTGCGTACTTCTTGATGTAAGGTTTCCCCTGACAACTCAAATACTTGCCAAAGGTTTGCCAGACGTGGCAACAAATAATGTATGTGTATTGGATTCCATCTACAGTATAGCCGTGAATAGCACGTGAATTTAAAAATTATTAACCAGGGATTCTGCAAAAAAGTTATATTCATTATCAAACAAGTCTATTACTGACAGACAAGCATTATTGACAGCAATAAAGAGGAGATTAAAAAGAGTATAAACAGGATATAAACAGTATTATGATTAATTGATAAATCAAGTGTAAGGTTACTTTAATATTTATAATAAGACTTTATGACATGATTTGAATACACAAAATAATTCTATTCATAAATGTTACATTCATATTTCATCCTCAGCACATACCGATGAAAAGTGCAGATTAAAAATGTCAATAGATTTGACACGGTATATCATATGTAACAATTATTACAACTAAAAGTTGCATACAGATTTTAAATATAGTAAAGAACAGAATATGTACACGATTATACAACAGTAAAATAATAAAATAGTCACCTTGATTTTGTATTGATATAGACATCTTTGTCTAAACATATGCGACTACAAAGAGATTGAGAGCAGTTATAGGAGAGTAAACTGTTCTTGTGTGTTTAGTCCTATTGCGGACCACTTGAAATTGTTGAGATGGAAGTAAAAGGAGAGAAGTTGTGAGGTAAAAGGAGAGAGGGGTATATTTTTTGTGAGTAAATGCCTGAAAAAGGCTGGTGAACCTAGGAATGAATCCGGAGAGGGGGAAAGAGAGAGATATTTGTTCTTAAATATTGTATCTACTTACTTGAGCAACTTAGACCATTCCCAGTATAACCTTCAAGACAGGTACATGAGAAGGACCCATCTGTGTTGTTGCATGCAGCATTCTCATCACAAGGAGATTGATCACACTCATTATTATCTTTTAAAGAAAGTGAAAATTTGGATAGATTAATTCTTATAGCATGTACACACTACAGGAAAAATAAACGAAAATTTCATTAAGAAATGTTGTATAAACTATCAAGTATTATTATACAGCGAAAGGAGCAGCATACTACATGTAGACAACATCATCGTATACGGAAGTTAATTTCAACAAAGTCAGTTTATATGACAGGTTTCCAATCACTAGAGCATTTCCGCGCACATTCTGTGGAATCTTTTTTTTTCCCTCTCATATATTTACTCATTTCTCGCATAATGTCTTTACATTTGTATGTATTTGCATTTAATATGTTAAAATGTGTACTTTTTTCAAAGGAATTAGAAAATAAAAAAATCTGAAATGTCGTACCTACACAGCTGAAGCCATTACCAGAGAAACCTGGCAAACACATACAATTGAAAGAGCCATTTGTATCCATGCAATTCGCGAAGACGTGGCATGGGGACGTAGAAAGGCACTCATCGGTATCTATATGAGGAGTACACACAGCATAAAAAAAGAACAAAGAGTGAGATGTGGAAGTGGGTACTCTCAGAGTTTTTCATATCGGAGTGGGTGTTCGTCAGGGATCAGTCTTATCTCCACTGCTGCTCGCTACTGTGGTCAATTTTTTTTATTGGAACCAGGAAATAAAGATGTGCTATGGAAATGTCGTTTGCAGATGATTAAGTTTTGATGGCTGAATCAATGCAGCAGCAGGTTAGGGATTTCACTGGAAGTTCATTTGGACGGACGGACAGACAACCCAAATCTCCTACAAAGTTCAATATTTGTGCTGTATTGGGCTCTTTAACTTACCTCAAAGTCGGGTCTACTCCACATTCTTGTAAAATAATGTTATACAATCACTTAATAAAATAAATTATGATAGTATTGGGGTAATTGTGTGCTTTATTTTATTTAAAGTCTGGTTGTGGGCCCAAAAAAAAAAAAAAAAAAAATTATGCCTAAAAGAATAAAAGAAAATAATTTTTTGTAGTTTGTTTCCATGTCAGCTGGAGAAGAACTTGAATGGGAAAGGAGAGAAAAAATACATTAATATTATTTCTATTTCTAAATCAATTTCTTTTCTTCATTTTTTTCAATGATATTTATGCTAAACTTTTGTCCGATATTTAAAATCTTTCTCATGCCTGCATCTACCAATAATTTGTTTTTCTCCTGGACTAATATGTCTCTTTCCTTTCAAAAGTTTGACCAATAAAGTGAGGTTGAAATTAAGTGCCTTACTTGTACACATTGCTCCATTTCCCGTGTAGCCATCATTGCATGAACAGGAGAAGGACCCTTCTGTATTGGAACATGCAGCATTGGTATCACAATCTTGAGTACCATCAAGACATTCATCCCGATCTAAAATAATATAAAGAAAAACAAAATCGATCAACGCTTCTAATCATCCGAGTACTAAGTCATATAAACATGATGGAATGAATTCAAGTGAAATCTTGCAGATCATTCCTGTCTGGCACATTGCCACTCCAGGCACTCCGTTATTATTACTCCGGCTTTAGAACAACTGCCATCACTGTGCTTGAATAATATGCACTCTTCTGAAAAAATAAAGGGTGTTTTGATTTAAGCTGTGGTGCGAAACCATTGTCAAAACCTCCATAACAAACTTATCTTAACCCTATTTAGCCCGGGCTATTTTAACAGTTGGGTTGCTTTCTTTGTCTCTATGAACAGTCATTCATTTGCCACACATGCAACTTTGCACAAACGAATAGGGACCAATTGATATATGGATTGCTACATGTGTGTCCAAAACAATCCAGGCTTTGCACAATTTCCCATTTCCAGGGTCGAATAGCTCCATAAACAACACTTAAATATTCTTGCACTGAAAACAGTTAAATAATCTTAAACTCTTTTGTTTATCTACCCCATGCTAAATACTATGTGGCACAAGGAGAATATTTGTGTGGCATATAAAGCGATAATAACAGATATTGAACCTGAAGATGAGTACTATATACTAATATAAACAAATATGTGTTTAGCCGTAATTATACAAATAATTCAAGTGCGCATGTGCATAGTAAATAAACACTGTACGCAGGTTAAGGCACAATATGATAATGGATTAGACTTGTGGAGTTCAACTAGTATAACTAAACAGCATAATGCACTTCTCAGTGCGTGAATCAATTTCCTTGCCATTTGGAACTGCATGTATTTTATCATAATTTTAATTTGTATGTGCCAAAAGTGAGAAACCATGTCTCCAATGAACTTTACAATTTTTCGCCCAAATTGAGTTTAGCATAAAAAGTATAGCTCACTATGTTTACAAGTAGAGTGTACTTTAGCTTCACAATGAATCAATATCATAAGGCCAAATATAAGTACCGAGGTGGGGGGGGGGGGGTGCTAATGTTTTATAAATGTGATGTCTATGTAACGTTAATAAAAAAAAGAAATGCATATTTAACAAAAAAATTGAAGAGATGCAACTTAAACAGAATTGTTCTGGCAGCGCATAGTCATTTGATAAAAAAGAATGATTTCATCTTCCATGTGTATTAGTTTATTTCATAACAACAGTTTTACCTGGATATTGTCAGATTTTTGGCCCCAATTTCATGGAATTTACATAAAGGAATAATACAATCAAGGCCTACCTGAACAACTTCTTCCGTTTACATCGAGCAAGAAGCCCGTTACACAGGAACAGTCGTATCCTCCTGGGATGTTATCGCAGTCCATTTCGCAACGATTCTCCCCAAGGCATTCATTGACGTCTGTGGGAAATAAGAGGGATAAATAAACACAGATATTGAATCACATTAAATTTTGCTATTAACCGTAGAACAAAATTAAAACATAAAATTTGAAAATACAATGTACATGTATATTCAAAAGATACCAATCCGGCAGCTGCTCAATAACGAATCCCAAATTTTTGATTTTGTTGATATTTGGATGTAATGGGAACTATCAGATGCCTTTTAATGGAAAATTGTGCCAGAGTTTCAATAAAATGAATCACACTTGACTGCTCTCAAACAAATAATTTGATTAGTGAGTTGCACATATATAAGAAGTGAACAACAAATAATTAGAACAACCGTAATAGAAAGATGATACACAATATTTTTGCAACAAGCTTTTGTCACATGTTATACCATGAACTCCAGTTGAAAATATGTCTTCTCTGAGGTGATGGGCAAAGCAGTTTTTTCTCAGGGGTATGGCCCAAAAGAAAATAGTCACCATGCCATTTAACCAAAATCTTTTACTGTATTGGTGCCTCAAAAAGAGTGCATGGTATTTCGATATATATCCCTCATTAACAAATGAAAAATTAAAAGTGTTAGCTATTTAGAAATGCATCTGAAAATAAATATCCACTTATACCTAATTAGTCAAAACGAGCACATACTAAGCTCACAAAAAAGTGCAGCCCATTTCACAGTGGCTGCAGTGGCAATATCATGACAGGCCTATCGATGGCTTGGAACAGTAATATAAAAGGCTTTACCCCGGTTGACGCCATGCAAACTCCATTTTGGGCTTCAAGGTGGAAGTATTATACGTGAGCCATCTGTAGCCAATCCTTGCACTAGGACTTTTTAGAAGTAGAATATATGTGTATACACAGGCAAGTATCTGCTTACTTGGAGCCCTATATATGTTTTCAAGTATTGTGGAGTTCAGAACATACAATCCATTGTCACTTGCATTACCCATGTCATTTTACTTCACAAATAGTCTTATCTTAGATCTAGTATGGCTAATACCTTACAGCGGGACTGCACTACTTGTAGCTACTTGCGCCCTCTATATAACAAACAATGCCTAAGCGACACGTTGTTCCCCCACGGTCCCCTTTTTCTTAAGTAATTGAGAGCTGATTTGATGACATAACCATCTGTCAGTGATCAAGCAGGGAGGTTTAATCCCTCCTAGCCAAACTAGTGCAGATAGGCTTTAATAAATACTTACATATGGCCGGCAATATATAAGGACAAAATAGGTTGGTATTTTTCATACCTGTGCAGTTGTTTATAGTTGAATTGAATTCATATCCAGTCTGATCGCATACACAGATTTCCCCGTCCGTAGAATTAATGCAGACACCAGAGCCACATTCGAGGTCACAACTTTCAGTAACTGCAATATTCATATTAAAGAATTTCAGATGAAAAATATTACAGTATTGGGTAGCCACAACTGCTATCATTATCAGCCCCGCATTCGTTGCTAGGATACCTCGGTTGAGAGTGTTGACACCTTAAGAAATTGTGTCTGCACAAAAGCCTAATTGATCCCAGTTAAAGGGAAAGCCAACCTTTGTAATATTTTTATTTCTATGAAAACAGAAAACTAAGAAAAAAAAAGGTAAAAGTTTGAAATAAATCGGAATAAGAAAAATATGAATATTTGACATATAAAATCGCTACATCTGTTTCAATATGAAATTGTCAAGTTGGTCAGTGAATATTGACAAAATCTTAATTTATGTCAGGCTCGTCAGTTAACTGCCTTCTACATTGGGGTAGTCACTTAAAAAGATATTGTGGGTAGCATATCATTATATTATTTTTTGCGAATAGAGTTGCATTAATATCACAATTGAATGACACGCACCATTAAAACTAAAACATCAACCGCATCAGATCATATACGCTGGAATATTGAGTCATTTTGGTAGTTTGTAGCGATATTCCAATTGACTATTACAGGAGCTTTCCTACTGCTAGAGTGTAAGGTGGGGATGACCTCCTACTCAATTATTTTGGGTTTTTCTTTTCAGGAAGGCATATTTAAGGGCCCGATTGATCATATACGGTTTTTCAAATCGGCAACAACAACTTAATTTTTCTTTTAATGCTATATTTTCAATGCAATGCAGTGTCTCTGGAAACGATATGCAGTATGTGAGAAGGGAATTTGTCCAAAAGTTGGGAAAATTTCAAATTTTGATAACAAAACATAACATGTGTTGCTAATTTATGAATTATAATGCATACTTGCCCTCCTAAAATCTGTGATATCGAATGCAAATGATCATGCATACTAAACTACAACGTTTTCGACTCCTATAATACCTTTTTAATTCAGACCTACTATATTGTGTAACTCAGTATGCGAGCCTATTCACTTTATTACAAGCTATGCTCTTTATTAAGGCTTCCTACATTGTACATTGTATTACCTTGCCTGTCATATCTATATATTTTGAAACTTCTATTTTCCGTACATGTATACTTGATTTGAAATCTTTATTTTTTTGTTGCAATCTACCCTAATACACTTGTATGAACAAAAAAAAAAAAAAAGTTTTTTTAAAAGTAAATGGGGAACAAATACACTTCAAACTTCAACTAAAATTAAAATGGGCACATGGTGTGCATAATTTAGTTTCCCTTCTTATCATACATGTGGTATACTCGTTACAGCTCTGAATCAAGAGCTGTCCAGCACGTCAAACCACAAAATGAGGGAGGGGGATTTCAAAGGGTTAACAAAAGGAAATACATACCCATGCATGTCTTGTTATCATTCGTAAGAATAAAGCCTGAAAAACAACTGCAGTTGAACCCAGGACTGTCATTAATGCAGCTCTGCTGACAATCGTGAGTTCCCAATGTACATTCATCGATATCTGTGAAAATAGAATAGCAACAACAAAAACAATAAGAATAACAATGACAGTTAACAAACATAAAGTAATAATAATTTTGTTATGTTAATAATATGTCTTATTTTTACCAAGGGTAGCCTCATCAGTATTTACACTGTTCTCCTTAAGGGACCTGCAATCATATAATACACCCCGGCTTTAGCCAAGCTTCCATGATTAAGGCGCACAAGCACTCAATAAATTACCAATAATAACATTAAAAAACAATTATAATGATAGCAGTAATATCAATATAAATATCATTCATAGTATCATTATACAATCTACATTATTTGTCTCTGTATGTTTTTTGGTTATCTCTGCCTGGAAATAAATTAAAATAGTACTGCTCTGACTTGAATGGTGATGCGATATGGGCCACATATAGACCATGATTGGTTGATAGTTTGTCACATGATTGAAGTGCACCAATCATCTCCAAATGCAATTTGTGTATAGCTAGAGTATGTGACGTCACCCTAAAAAACCTACGTGGTATTCTATGGGTTAGCGGCTAAGAAATTTGAAGAAAACAAAGGATAACCTAAAGCACCTATCACGGAACGCAAGTACGTCTACGCTTGTTCTATGCGAACACAGATACATGCATCGACTAGTCTATTTTCTTTGTATCTCTTTGTAAACAAATATTTGGACCTCATATTTTGAATCCAGTACAACAGGGTACCCCTTCCGTCAAAACAAAAAATGTTTTGGTGATTGAGTTAAGGGTGCAAAAATACAACAGTGGAAATGGCTTCAATGGACAAAGTTGCACGGCATTTCTACATGAATATGTGTACAAGGTTTTGGCGATTTTCTTCAATTTGTTAATGAGTTTTTCTTTCATGGACTTATTTGTACCTCTTTCCATAACTAGATAGGTACCATTTCGGTTAGGGTTGTGGCATTCAAGCGATGTACGAATACCACGCCCATTGTCAGTTCAAACTGAAAGGCTGCCATAGCCCCACATGGCTCAGACCTATTATCAATGTCCATGACTTTCCATAACTTATCATAATTAATTATTTTTCCATGACTATCTAGGTTTTTTCATAATTTATAAGAATATAGAATTTGTGATAGCTACATGTACATATAGGTCTTTATAACTACCTTCACATGCGAATCCATTTCCTTGAAATCCTTCGTTACATGAGCAGACGAATGATCCATTAGTATTCTCACACTGTGCGTCCATATCACAAGGGTCATCGTCACATTCATTAGCATCTAGATAAAGATAGATAATGCATTACAGTGAAAACCGTTACGTCTTTCGGATAGTGATGCCAAAGGTCGGTCCCCAGACATTAATCATTATATCTGATTGATTTGATAAACGTAGGTAAAAAAAACCAATTACACACCTGTATATAAAGACCGCTCAATGGAGACAAGAAAAGCGGTCTTTATAGTGAGGTAGTCTTTAAACGAATAGTCATATATTAAGTGTTGCGTCACTAGTAATTTTAAAGTCTAACATACTTTACATACATAAGACAGTAAGATGGATTTCAATAGATAGATTTGGTACCAAATTTGTAGTCATGTACCAAATTTTGACCGAAATATTAAAACTTTCCCACAATTACTCAAAAATTAAAATTGCCCATTGAATTATGTACAGACAGCACAAATGTATGATTTGAATTCTCATTATTTCAGTTTCAGACATTACCATTTACTAGCCAAACTAACCTTTTAATTATAAGACGGTAATACAAAGTTGGTTAGCTAAGATTTGATACCAACATTGTAGACATATGTCAAGTTTTGACCAAAATTTACAAGGGCTTTCAAATTGTACAAAATTCTCAATTTCACCACTAAAATTGTATGGGCAGCACCGCTTCCTTCTCCACCCCTGGTGTTCCAACTTCAAAATGCTGTAACACCAATTGTGAATATATAACTTTAATAATTAGCAAGAAAATTACATTGTAACTCAAGTTCGAAAATGCTACCAAAATTGTTTGTATCGAAGAAAATTTTACTCTAGGATGGAACCAACATGTGCAGCGCACCACCTTTTTGTTGTCAAGCTCATGACACATGTCCTTTTACATGTAAAGATTTGCCAAGGCATAATAGAATATATAATGTCATTATTGTATTGCATAATCATTATATCTTTTGGGCAAAACAGAAGTTGTTATGGGCTGTAATTTTGAGAATCATTGATGTAAGAGAGTATTTTCTTCACCTTCACATTCTCCCTGTAGACTTTTTCTGTAGCCGTCGGCACACTGACACTCAAACGATCCGTTTGTGTTGACACACAGAGCTGACATAGTACAGTTATCATCTTCAGAGGCACACTCGTCGATGTCTAGATAGAAATATCAAAGCATATGTCAATTCATTTTGTGAGCAGAATTGTTACGCAAAAAGTAGAATGACAAGATATTGCAAAAAAAGTCACTTCAGGCTTAAAGTTGCTCAAGCGTGGGTATATAGAGGACAGGTCACAGACGTGCGATACCTATGCCATCGTCCAAACTTTTTACACAAAGGAGCGTATTATTGGCTCAGTGTTATGTAGTGATCGCCATCTTGCCTACTTCACAAATGACCGAGAATATCGTCCGTGCCCGATTTATCTCGAATTTCGAACAACTGTTTGTAATTTAGCTTTAAAATATCAAATGTATTGATATGTGATTAATTGAAAACATTATAAAATGCACATTATTATAGTTCTGTAAACATGTTTATTTACAATTTAATCTTGCAAGTTTTATTTGACATTTGATGGAAATTCATTGAGATTATATTATCGAAATATGGTCAATGTCCGGGCGTTGCTAGATCTTGCTTAGCAAGCATGCAACATACGCGTACATGATATTTCACTTTGTATGCACTGTACGTACACTGCAAATGTTCATGCAGACTTCATATGACTGCATTATGTACGATTATTATGGTATTACGTGCGGTACTCCCAAACTGCGCCAATGTAAACACTGAGTTTCCTTCAGTAGATTATGGCAGTTTCTGTGTGCTGCCCTCTATATACTCAAGCTTTAACATTTTTAAAAGAGGTTTTTGTAACCAGAGATTTCATTTGCACAGGCTCATTCGTAAACGCTCTGTAAAGTGCTAAACATTTTGTGCATACATAAGCATACCGACTTTCACTGTTTGTAATCATGATAACACACAGAAATATGGAGTACACGTAGGACCATTGTTGCATTATACCCACCTAGCTCGCCCACCTGTGACCAAATAGACTATTTTTATAATGTTATGTAATCATTTCATTAGCTTGTTTCGAATAATTGTATTTCAACAGTTACAACTCATATTGAAAATATAAATATCATTTTGAGTCATATCACACAACTACCTCCCAATATCTAGCAAAGGTACGAGCCATGTAGTTGACCTCTGCCAGGTCCCTCCCAGTGTATGTGACAGCCAGCATGACACAGTCAGTAGATGGTCCATGGTCTGTTGGCCCTTGCCAGTTCCCTCCCAGTGTATGTGACAGCCAGCATGACACAGTCAGTAGATGGTCCATGGTCTGTTGGCCTCTGCTAGGTCCCTCCCAGTGTATGTGACAGCCAGCATGACACAGTCAGTAGATGGTCCATGGTCTGTTGACCCCTGCCAGGTCCCTCCCAGTGTATGTGACAGCCAGCATGACACAGTCAGTAGATGGTCCATGGTCTGTTGGCCCTTGCCAGTTCCCTCCCAGTGTATGTGACAGCCAGCATGACACAGTCAGTAGATGGTCCATTGTCTGTTGGCCTCTGCCAGGTCCCTCCCAGTGTATGTGACAGCCAGCATGACACAGTCAGTAGATGGTCCATGGTCTGTTGGCCTCTGCCAGGTCCCTCCCAGTGTACATGTATGTGTCAGCCAGCATGACACAGTCAGTAGATGTTCCATGGTCTGTTGGCCTCTGCCAGGTCCCTCCCAGTGTACATGTATGTGACAGCCAGCATGACACAGTCAGTAGATGGTCCATGGTCTGTTGGCCCTTGCCAGTTCCCTCCCAGTGTATGTGACAGCCAGCATGACACAGTCAGTAGATGGTCCATTGTCTGTTGGCCTCTGCCAGGTCCCTCCCAGTGTATGTGTCAGCCAGCATGACACAGTAGATGGTCCATGGTCTGTTGGCCTCTGCCAGGTCCTTCCCAGTGTATGTGCATGTCAGCCAGCATGAAACAGTCAGTAGATGGTCCATGGTCTGTTGGGGGGGGGGGGGGTGTTTCCATTTACTGTACCGCTTCTTTCTGACCCACCTGACACACTCAAACCTCACCAACTTTGTTCCCATTCATTTTCTACACAGAGGCATTTTCATGAGAATATTTGTTGAACGCAGTTGCCATTCATTTAGATGTAAAAAGACTGTGGTGGCTCAGCAGGTCACATCTGAATGAGCACAGAGTTTAATATTATACCCGTGAAGACCTTCCTGACTTACCAAAGCATTCAATTCCATTTCCAACATATCCTGCATTACAGGTGCAGAGGTAGCTCCCAGGATTATTCTCACACGTCGCATTATCACTGCAATCATCGTCATTAGTGGAGCACTCATTAGCATCCTCACAGTAGGTACCGTTGCCGACCCAGCCTCCATCACACGCACATGAGAAACTACCAGGTGAATTATCACAAGTCGCCTGTGAGGCGCAGTCATTTAGAGATTCGTCCAGACATTCATTCATATCTTGAATATAGAAAAGAAATAGAAGGTGACAGCTAGGATAGGGTAGTGGTGAGCACAATTTGTCTTTCTTTTTTGCCCCCGAAAATTTGAAAATCGTGCCTACCGATATTTCGCTCAGTGGGAAGGGGGGGGGGGGGGTCGTAATGAGCACTAAATTTCAACCCCCGTTCCTCTACATTTCCTCTTTCCTACCAATGCCGGATTCCAACTACCATTCTACTACTCTTCCGCTCAAAGTCTTTATAGCACCGTATCATCATTATTATTATCCAATCACTGTCCTCTACTCTTCCTACCAATGCCAGATTATCCAACCACCGTTCTTATACTCTTCCTCTTTCCAACCAATGCCAGATTATCCTAACCCCATTCCTCTTCTCTTCCTCTTTTCCACCGATGCAAGATTGTACAGTATGCAGTGGGCTTTAGACAGTCTATTCATACATAATGCATATACATGACCGCAGTTAAGTGTTTTGTGTAAGCATGCTCACCAATAGGGGCAACCTTGTCAAACAGTGAAAGGAATTAATGGCTTTGTGTGAATCGCGACCAAACAATACTGAGCGTGGTCAATACATATTCACCCGCGTTCTGCCCGCGCAAATGTGGAAGTTTATCATGGGCGATACTGTACCTGTACAAGTAGTTCCATCTCCTACGTAGCCCTCATTACACGTGCATATGAAAGAGCCTTCATTGTTTCCACACGTTGCATCTGCATCACATGGGCTATCCACCGTGCATTCATCAATATCTGGGAATAAAGACAATCATAAGCTTAATTATCATCATCATCGTCATCACAATCTAATTTTTTACGAAATAGGGTGTTTGTGTTTGTTAAAGAGCATCTTATTGGCTGAGCAGCAATCACATGGCAATTTGTTATACGTGACCAAATATGCAAAATAACAGCCTCTTTTTGCAAAATGTACGACATACCGCATATATCTAAGTATGTGCATACCAATTGCCTTAGCCGCATGGATCTGACATGGAAAGCTTGATGGCTTGAACAAACCCCCAAGGTATGAGATCTCAAATACCCTTATACTTTTATGCGACACATATTGAATGCATATCGTTCTATATAAAGTATTATATTAAAAGTCAGAATTTCCCTAGTGCAATTCTATTTCAACGTCAGCATGCATACATTACTCAGGAATTTCTGAATTTGTCTTTTCATACATTGTGTTATACTGAACTCTGAAGCATTCAATATTTGTATAACGTAGTGCAGCTACATGTATTACCATGTACAAGCTTTTCTGCCTTTTGGTGAACGTGAACCTAATCATTGGTGTGCTTTTAAAAATCATTATTGTTATTAGGTGATACGTATGAAATATACGTATCACCTTTTGATTTCGTCAAGATTTTTCTTTATTATTATTATCAGGTGGGCTGTATAACGTACAGACCACCTTATAATTTCGTTAGAATTGCCTTTATTTATTTATTATTTATTATTAAATATTTTTCTTATTTCTAACCACTTTTTTGTTAGGAAGATAACTTGAAAATGGCTCTATGAAATGCCTTGAAATTTGGCACACATACGTATAGGCATATGTACAAAGCACAGAAATGTTTTAAACCTTGACCTTGACTGATGACGTCATCTAGGTGCCATTTTGTAAAATTTTACAAAAATCAACTCATGATCATATCTTCATAACCAAAAAGTATTTCTCATTTATATTTATCATGATCAAGGTCAATATCCTTCCGGTCAATTGCAAAATTTTAAATTGCTCCAAATCATCTCAAATTCATTTTGCATACGTTTCATGCCATTATATGCATTTTATAAAAAATCGCGCAAACGCGCATTTTCGTCTGTCACAGTCGAACTCAAAATAATTACCAGTCAATTTTTTTGGACAGGATATTTCTCATATTTGTCCGAACAAATTGATACCATGTTTATCTCTTTATCACTATAAATAACGGAATGAGCGTCTGTTCAAGGCGTATGCGCGAGTTTTGTAATACATAGCATATACTGGCAAAAACCTATGCCTATAAAAAGTCCATTATAGCTCTTTGGGATGCCTAGAGACTCCCCATTCCTTTTTCATATTTGGATAGAGTATGAGTAGGAGATATGATTTCATGTCTCATTTACATCGTGACGTCATTATAATAGCCTTGGAAGCCGAAATACGAATACTCACATTATGACGTCAGCATATTTATGGGAAATCGAATGTATCTCTGTAAATAATGATCGATTTACTTCTAAATTGTGATATGTTGTAGCTGAGACAATCCACAAGATCATTTCTAATATTTATTCATTTTGTTGACGTCATTATGGTGAAAATTGCGATTAAAGGCGACATATGTCAGATTTTTGCTAAATATGCGTGTTATGCCTATGGGAGGTGATTGATACTACATTCCAGTCTAGACTTGTTCATTATGTTGCGTATGTAGTGCGTCAAAATATCAGTTCAATGATTGGTAGGCTCTGCAATCAGGCGAAAATTTGAGCTTGTTTAGTAAATTAATAGTTTAATCATATAACAATTCTCTATCAAATACCTGAAGGGGGCGCTATACCACTTTTAATCATGGTCATCGTCATTTAAAACCAAAAAATCTTCATCATCAATATCGTCATTATCGTATTTATGAATATTATCATTAGATCATCATCGGCACACATTCATGATACAAAAATAGCTTCGTATTACCTAATTCGTCAAAGTGACGAATTAAAGTCTAGTTATCATTATTATTATTATTATTACCATGTTTATTAGTATCATTGTTATGATTATTATGATTATTATTATAACCAAAATTATCATAACCATTGTAATGATTATTATCATGATTCTTATCATTACTCTTACTTTTTCACTATTCATATCATCATCATCATCATCATCATTATCATTATTATCATTATAATTGACATTACTGACCTTCACAATTGATGTTATCATCTGTAATTGGAGAAAATCCGACTTCGCAATAGCACTGGTAGGAACCGATGGTATTATTACAAAGACTGTTGTTTTGGCAACCGTGTGTACCCAATGTGCATTCGTCGATATCTGAAAATAAATAAATGTTTCAATTTCCGATACAACTCATGTTATTAAACCCGACATCTGACTGCAATGAAGCCTCTTTCAGATGTGAAGCGGTGAAACGCGGCATTTTTTTTTTTTTTTTTTTTTTTTTGTTCTAGCATTTATTTATTCATCTTAGGTAAACACTTACTTTAAAACTTTTGTAGAAATTTTGATCTTCAAAATCAGGACTAAATGAATACATGTCATAATAATTAAAGAAATGATTCTCTAAATGTACATATACAGTTAACAACTAAATTGTTCATATCCTTACAATGTTTTGCAATTGGTCACGATTTATATATTTCTTGATAATGGGACATATTAAGCATTTTCGACAAATATTCAACAATGGCCCTAGTACAATCAGTCCAACTTTCATTCTTCAGTTACGAAAAAACATAAAAAACATCAAATTTACAAGGACTATATATGAATAATATAGTTGTTACTGTACATGTACTGTCACAAATAATACTGTGGTGATTCATTGCGTTGAAATTATGCTTTATATGAAGGGTCAGTCTAATGTATAGCATATCCTATAAGTTAAACAAGTTTCAGTGAATTGCATTATGAAACTGTGAACATAAATTGACATAAACATAATAATAGTCACATTTGTAAAGCGCTTACTAAAATGTTTCTAAGCACTTTACATTGTAATTATCATTACCATAGTCATTGGATTCTCTGGATTATTATTGTTGTTATTATTATTATCATTATTATCAGTATTTGTATTAGTTTAATGTATTATTGATACTATTATTATCATTATTATCATTATCATTATTATTATAATTATCATTATAATTATCATTATAATCAAAAGATACTTACCATTACACCTTCTTTGATCCATATCAAGTGTAAAGCCATCATTACATGTGCAATCATATCCATCAAGTCTGTTATCACAGTTCTGATCACATTCATTAAGTGTGTCATTTGCACACTCATCAACATCTAGAAAAAAATCAGCAAAATACAATGTCATCTAAATTAAAGCACGCACAAAACTGTCCGTTCCATGAAAACTTGGGGGCTAAAATCGATACTGAAAAATGAAGTTGAGTTCCGGTCATGCAGTTACAAGTACATTACGGAAGAAACTGTTTAGAAGCAAAGGTGAAAATTCAATGAGGTAATACATAATAAATATTGCATGCAGTGATGTTTTAGAATCATCAAAACAACAAGGCACTCGCAAATTGCTGAAAAAAACACACCGGAGTACCGGTATATGGGTTATGAATTAAACAATGACAAATGTACATGTCGCACTATGATAATCAGTCATGGGAAGGATACAGTTTGATATAGTATCATGATGTAGTAGAAAATCATAGATGACTTTTTAAAGAGAATACTAAAAACACTTTATTAACAAGTGTTTTCTCCTGAATGTGTTATTTTGTTTTATTTTAAGCACCTTTAGGTTATTTTTGTCATCAATCTTTTTTATTTTCGGAGGCTTGAGCACCATCTGGGTGAAAATGTTGCTCACTATAAATGACTACATTTCAACTGTTGTAATTATTATTATTATTATTGATGATATTATTATTATTCTCATCATTATCATTATTATCAATATTATTATTATCTTAATTTGTATCATGATAATTATTTTAAAAATTATTGTTACTTCTATGGTAAACAAAGGCATACCAAAGCAAGTTAATCCATCTCCTGTAAGAGACGGTGGGCATGGTCCACACATCGGCATAACTGAAGGTGGCGGTAAGTCAGAGCAGAAAACACCTTCATAACAAGGGGAACCTTGACAGGAGTCGAAGTCTACACCACAGTGATCACCTGACCAGCCAACCTCGCATGTACATGTGACAACCTGTAACACAGTCATTAAATTCAATCCATTGATGTTTCGTTAACATAAAAATAAATATTTGAACTATGCATGGTTTGGCAAGCACAGTCAAGATACCCTCCCTTTTCACCTAAGATCCTAACTGATAACAATTTGAATGACCAGATGCCCATTTTTTTACATTTTCATTCAGCGACTCATTTATTGTTAATTGTTTTTGCTCACTCATGCATGACTGGTATAATTACAAATGTATATCATTTTAAAGAGGTTTAATTTTATGTTTATTTTAATTTATGAAAGCTAGGTTAATATTAAATACTTATTTTAGAATCTTAACTATAACGGTAATAGTGTCCACTTTCTTGTTTTTACTGAGTGCAATATCATATTTACTATTTAAAATGGATAACACACATAAACAGTACATATCAAAGCCATGAAAAAAAAGGAGATGAACTTTACCTTATGAAAACAAATTATAAAACATGCAATGGATGGGTAATTAGTTAAGAAACGTTTTGTACAAATCAAACAAAAGCAGGAATAACAAAATTAAAATGTCATGTATGAATAGAAGTGCTAAGAACATTCTGACAATTTTTCTAGCTATTTTCCTGTTACGATTTACAACACCATAATCTGTATTTTGGCAAAACACAGTCACACAGGACTCTGGAAATAAACTCAAGGTAACTTCAATTGCTTTTGTGCCACCTTTTGATAAATGTGCAAAACATTACAATGGATGGTTACATAATTTGAACATGATTTCTAAAAAGAGTAGTAAGGTGATTATTTGTAAGTCTCTGTGACTGTGTTATGCATGGAGATATGGAATTCTTCAGTAATTTATTTTTGTGAAATGAAAGTGTTGCTGTAAAAATAGGGCAAAGTGATTATGCAAATTACTTGCTTGAGAAAACATTGACAAAGTTGTTTAGGTCATACAGAAGAAACATCGGTATTGGTACACCAATAGAAATTACAAGCTGCGTTAAAAAGAAAATATGTATAGACCTATTTGTGTGATTTTTAAAATTATTTCAAAATGCTAAAAAATACATTCATATTTTCAAGATCTAAGTTTGCTGCTACTAACAGTGAACGATTGTTTATATGCTTTTGTTAATATTTGTCCAGTAATTCCATATTTCTACTCACGGTAAAGCCATTGTTGTTGAGATCCTGATTTGCTGCTAAGATGTCAAAGTTGCATACTCCATCATTGGAACACTGACAGACTCTGACCTTGTAAGTTAGTAATGTACTCGCTCCAAAATCATCGGTTGCTACGATCTCAATCATAGAAACATCTAAGCTTGGAGGAGTCCACGTGAACAATCCAGTATCTGCAACAGTCAAAGAATATAATAAAAATAATAACAATAATAATAATAAAAACATGTAATAACAACAATGTATGACACACAATGTGAATCTATCCTCCGGCAGTGGCAGCGATTTTTGTGTCATCCTTATGTTCGAAGGAGACACAAAGATCCCCTCTCCCCTCCCTGCATGAAACAAAAGGATGATGTAGAGATTGCCACTAGTATAGTACTCAGTGTTATTATAGTGGCCTAGACTATCGTCAAGGCCGGCTAGGAGCAGCATCACCAAATAATATATGTGGTAGATTAAGGGATAATGCATCTCTATAGAAAATTTGAAAGATATCTGTCCAGAAATGTGGCAGTTAGAGCGCATAAAAGGCATACCGGTATGACTTTTGGCCCTATAAAGGACTGAACAATGAGAGCAGCATTACCCAAAGTGTAGATGTATAGATTATATCAAGACCAAATAACCAATGTTTATCTCTTTTTTGGAAAAAATAATATTTCAATATTTTATACCTAATCATGGAAATGAGGGATTTGGGGGCTGACATTCAAAGACAAAAGGTCATGTGACTTTGTAACGGTAGGTCCAATTTTTGAACATGTGTCTTTAAAGATATGCAAGACTCTAACGGAAAAAGTCATGAAGTAGCACCATAAAATATTGAAGCATTACATAGTAATCGCGAATGTAGAGGGGCAATTTAAGGGTTAAGGATTCTGGAGGAAAAAACATCAGATGACCTTTGTGTATGATGAAAAAGAGAATACGTGCATTAACAGATCATGGGTAAAATCCCATTGGCAGTCTGTGGACAAAAAGGCAACCGATAAACGGTTTTGAAAAATTCAGCATTATGGTAATTTACGCAAATAAGGTCATACAATATACAGTTTTACAATAAATCATTAATTCTTCATATATTATTTACATTAATTTTCATTACATACATTGAATATTCTTTAGACCATTAAGAATAATAGTACAACAAAAAAATTTGGATAGGCCAGGTTGTTCCTTATGTTATCTATTGCTTCACTAATTTATTATGTATATCATTGTTTTTTTAACTTATATATTTTAATGTTTAAGTGGTGGTCATCCTCAGGGGTTCCAGAACAATCAGAATATTCGCGGAGGGGGGGGGGGGGAGTTCCATTGGCCCCCTCCCTGGCCTGATAAGGGTTAATGTGCTCACAAATTACCCAAGATTCTAGCTTCTTTAGGCTCCCAATATTTGGTGCTCACAACATTCAAGGAATTCCTTCCTACAAATTTGAAGACTTTGACAAATTGTTTTAATGAAATCATTCTTTTTCATGATCGTCTAAGCTTTACAGCTTATATCTGATTTTGTATTGCCATCAGAGCATACTGGATTAAAAGATGAATATTAAACGTCACTAAAAATAGACAATAAACTGCAACGTACTTTGGTCTATGGTTGCGCCAGACTGAGCACCCTGCAATGAATACTGGACAACATCTTCGTCATTTGGATCTGAAGCTGTTATTTGTAAGGTAACTGTTTGGTCAACAATTACACGCAGTATACCGCTCTCTGACAGTGCATCTGTCGAACTGGTCTCAATGACAGATGTGATGTTTGGTGGGAAGTTATCTATAAATTAAATGAAAAACAAAATAATAACAACATTAATAATATTAATAATAATCAAAATAATAATAATGATAATAATAAAAGTAAAATAAATATTGATGAAAATAATGATAATAATAAGAAGAATATCATTTCATTTCTAAAGTGTGTTTTGATCTGATAAAAAGCGCATATATATATAAACATATTTATACTGTACTAGTGTATTTTGCATGACGTTTCGTTAACGGTAGGAGGGGGTGCTTAAAAATTTGTTCTTTCTAAGTATTGGTATTAATTTTATTATAGATGAAGAAAATTACTACGAGCTGTAACTTACTTAAATCCGATAGCTGTATTTCAAAAGCATTATTAGAAGACAATGTATCTAAACCAACTGATGGATCAACTGCTAGGGAATCAAAGAGGCATGCTTCACTATCCCCACAAAACGCTAAAGCTTGTGCTGCCAACTCCGGATCTGCCGCAATCAGCTCTGAGAGGAAGGGAGGGATGTAGGAAGGATCATTATAATAACTCCAATCCCAATCGCCGTAATCGAAGAGGGATTCACTCGGTGAGATCATCCCTTCAGAGAAAAGAAATAAATAAAAGATAAACGGTTAATGTGACACCTGTATATAAAGACAGCTCAAGGGGGGCAAGAAAAGTGGTCTTTAAAGGCAGGTGGTCTTTAGAGACAGATTGCTTTAGAGCACGATCCAATAGGAAGTAATTTTCAATACACCAGTTTACGGTTGTGTGCGCCATTTTAAACAAAGCCAATGACCTAGAGGTCATGTATTTATGCGTAAATTAAGATTGCGCCCATGTAAATTATGATGATATGCCTACGTGCTGCATTGTGCGCGCACATCATCATTTGCATGGGCGCAATCTTAATTTACGCATAAATACCACTGGTCAAAGGTTATTGGCCCTGTTTCAGGGCCAATGACCCGAGGTCAACTGTCTGCGCATGCGCACTGATACAACTGTAAACTGGTGTATTTAAACTAAATGTCATTTGAACAGCTAAACGCTAACTAGAAAAGCTGGAGACAGAAAGTTATTGAGAACCTGCTTTTGAAAGGACGATTTCATTGTCGCACCAACGGTCTCCAAGCTATGATGGAACATAGATGGATAGATACACTCTAGCTCTTAACTCACATATTATGCATCAACACTCTTGAAACACGTCGGCCTCAGCCATCATAATACGTGAATTAACTATTGCTTTGTCGGTGTCACAGATATGTTTGATTAATACAAACGGACCAGGCATTTTTAGTCAATAATTACTCCACCAATAAACATGTACTAGGGTGATCAATTTATAATAATAATAATAATATTCTGGGTTTATGTATACCATTTCATACATCAATAATGTCTCTCAGCGCTTCACAGATACATTTTTACCCCGTTCATTCGATTAAGGCTTTGCCTGCTCACAATGTACATTCTCCACACCATGTGGAGCATTCCAGCCAGGTGCCACTCAACACCGCCCACAATATTGAGCAAACTACAATGACTTTTGCATTTCTATGTTTACAGCATGAATCAAGCATTTGATGTATTCAAAACTAGATGGAATTCGACTGCGCGCAGTCAAAAATGATGCCTCCTTCATAGAGCAATTTTACAAACCGAAACGGAAGAAATTTTTCAAATTCAAGTCCAATTGTAATCCATAAACATTTTCTCAGAATATCGTGATTACAAGCAATTTCTCATATACATATATGACCCTTTGATCTTTGACCTCATGACCCTAAAATCTATTCAGTTCATTGGCTCTGCAAGATGTCCTGAGTTAAATAATAATCCATCTGTCAGTTCTAATGAGAATGTTTTCACAAGCTATTTTTGCATACATAATGAGCCCATGACCTTTAATCTTATGAACCAAGAATCTACTCAGTTCATTGGCTCTGCAAGATTCATAAATGATCTAAGTTTGGCAGGAATCCATCAATCTGTTCTAATGATAATACGATCACAAGCTATTTTTGCATACATAATGAGCCGCATGACCTTGACCTTTATCTCATGACCCCAAAATCTAATCAGTTCATCAGCTCTGCAAGTAACATACATGACCTAAGTTTGGCAGGAATCCATCAATCGGTTCTTGAGTTAACGCGATCATGAGCTGTTTTTGCATACATAATGTGCGCTGTGACCTATGACCTCGTGACCCCAAAATCTTATCAGTTCATCGGCTCTGCAAGTAACATACATGACCTAAGTTTGGCAGGAATCCATCAATCGGTTCTTCAGATAACGCGATCACAAGCTGTTTTTGCATACATAATGAGCCCTGTGACTTTTGACCTTTGACCTCGTGACCCCAAAATCTAATCAGTTCATCGGCTCTGCAAGATACATACATGACCAAAGTTTGGCAGGAATCTATTTATCGGTACTTCATATAACGCGATCACGAGAACGGGACGTACGTAGAGACGTACGTACGGACGGACAACCCGAAAACATAATGCCTCCGGCTATTTCGTAACGGAGGCATAAACAATTACGAAATGCCACTATAGACTTTTTGCACATTTTGTAATAGATCTTTAAAAATAAAGCATCAAACAGTAGTATCTGAATGAGTAACACAAATTCAAAGTACTCAAAGAAAATGTATTTCATTTGTTGTTTTTTTTATTTGTGAGATTGAATATATATTGTGACTTATCTGTATCATTTAAAAGAGTAATAAATTGTTCACAAATTTAGTACACATCATATGGCGATATGTAAGACATGCTGAAACAAGTACAGGAATTTGGAAAAAATTGTTGGGTTTTGGAAGAATGTTGAAACAAGCAAAACCCCTTCACACAGTTAACATTAAAAATAAGTTACTCACAACTTTGTCCAAAATCAAAGATATCTCTCTCTGTCAGGTTTCTCTCAGCCGTATCCATGATGATGGTTCCGTCCCGGTATTGGAAATCATCATTCTTATCACCATTCATGAGGCCTAAACAAAAAGACAATAATTATAATAATACAATTAATGATGACAAAAGTAATAATATAATAATGATAGTACTATCATAAATAATAATAATAATAGTAATAATCATAATACAATTATTACTCAAAATAGAAATAATAATAAAAATGATAATAGTAATGACAATAGTAATAATAATGATAGTTACAATAAATGTAGTATAGTATTAATGACTGTTTTGAGAGAAATAGTTGTTTTTATACGCTCAAGGGAAGGTTAGAATTGTGCTATTACCCGAGGCGTGCCGAGGGGAATAGCCCAATTGTAACCTTCCCGGGAGCGTATAAAAACAACTATTTCTCGAATATTAAAGCAGTCATTAATACTTTTATATGCCAAAAAAAAAAAAAAAAAAAATTTGTCGAAGATGGGATTCGAACTCTTGCGTATCAAAGGCGATGTTACTAAAGTCAGCGCCTCAAACCGCTCGGCCAGCGCGCTATGTCACCATGTACAGTAGTTTTCTTTAATATATACATTAAAATGAATTGAAAACGGCTTCGCGTGGTCGATGCTTCGCCGCTGCTCCATTAAACGGGCCCTTCTTTTACTTTTGCAATGCATATTGGCACAAACTTAGATCAAGATCTATCGGCAGATTTTTTGTTTTTGGAAGTTTATTTTCATCTTCATGTCAACAATGCAAGATAAAATTGTCGGTAAGATCGATCGAGATTCAATTGTATTGAAATTACCGACCAATTCTTCGCACACGTACGGTATCCTCGATCGCTCAGACCATTTTTTAACATGTAAACCTATGGGGTAACCATGGAGACTGACCTATTTTCCCAATAACCATGGTTATAGGGATTTTGAACTGTTTTTTAACCATGGTTACTGGGAATTTTCGGGAACAGTTAAAGTTCATGAATGCAATTTCGACCAATCAGATTGCTGGATTACTTAAGTGAGGTATATAATAATTTATAATGTTACTTGTTAATCCTCATCATTTTTAATAATGTAATTTTTATTATTATTATTATTATTATTACACTACTAACCGAATAGACCATTTCCAATCCCTCCAGTAGCGTATTCTCGAGGAACAAAACTATTTCCTAGTAATATCCCGGTTCTGAAAACCACACGAAGTCCGGAGCTAGGTATGTCTGGTAGTTTGAAGGTTACAATGATAGCAGTTTCACTTTCTGCCGCCTCATCATCACTGTGTAAGTTGAAAGTTGGATCAGCGGAATCGTAGCCATCTGCATGAAGAAATACATTGATCTCGTGAAAGAATTTGTTATAGAGGAATTCATCCACAAGTGAATAGTCTCTTGATATGACTTCTGATAATGTTACTGGTACACAAAAGAATCGGTCGTAAACGGTCAAAGTAAGAAATATTCATTTGGGATGAAATAAATTGGATAAATGTCATACAGTGCATGTCATACGGGCCTCAGTGCATGTAATCGCCCTACATGTATATCATTATAAAACTTGAGAAAGGTTCCTCCCATCAAAACAGATATTGTTAGTGGCAACGATACACATATTACACTCCAAAACAAGTGTCCTGTATTTTTCAGGTATTTACATTGTATATCAAAGCATATTTACAAGTTCTTTGAGGTGAGGAAAAAAGAATAATAATTTGCATTTTCATTTTATAGTGGGTATGTACATTTATATACACTTGGATATACATGTATAGTACCCTGAAAGGCCTGTTTACTAAGTCTATGCATGCTTTTTGAACAATATTGCTCTTGACAACTAAAAAGAGAAACATGCATAGATTGAAATACATTAGTAAACAGGCCTATCACAAGTTCCAGCAGTACCTGCTTCAAGAGTTGATATATCGACTGACGTCTGGTTGACCGAGAGTAGCAGCTCTGTTCTATCATCATTTAAAGTAAATGATACCTATAAAGAAAAACCCAAATTCATGTAATCAATCATCTTCATTATCATTTATCATTCATTTATTTTTGGGGGAATAAATTTCCTCGGGAGGGGGGGGGGGGGGGGGGGGGGGGGGGGGGGGGGGGGAAAGGGTGGGGTTGTAATTTTCCTGGGGGGGGGGGGAATTTTCCGGGGAATTTTTGTCCTCTGGGGTGGTTGTTCTGAAGGGGTAATTTTCTGGAGGAGGGGGTATTTACTAGGGGGTAATTATCCTTGGGGGTTTACTGTCCCGTTCGTAACTGGCTGAGGGTGATTGTCCTGGGGGTAATTGTCCTAGAACCTAACAATACCACAATCATTGTAAAGAACTTTGTAACTGCTTTTAAAAGTCTAACCTGAAGACAGTCCTTTTCTTAAAAGCATACACTAACTAAATGTGTAGAATTTTTACACAATTCGTCCTTGTTTTCACGAAGTGACGGTAGTGAGGAACATTGTCACGCAAAGTGAATGCAATTTTTTTTACTACCGTCACTTCGTGAAAACAGCGACAAATTTGTAATTTTTAATTGATCCTTTGGCGGTTAGGAAAAGAAACTGGACAGATGGCGCATTTAAGGGACATTATTATTATTTTTATTATCATTATTATTATTTTTATTATTATGATTATCATTATAAGTATTATTATTAATAATCATTAATTTTATTATTATCATGTACAGTAAAGTGATTAAGAGGAACACTTCTTAAGAAAGAATTCTCACGTTTGTAATGCCTTGTGTCGCAGCGAAACCCGTAAAGACGGTCCCTGTGTTGACAGGTTCACCATTCCTAAATGCTACGCCGGTACGAGTCTGGAGAACAAATGGGTCATTATTGTTGTATTGCATCATAATGTACTCGCCAAACCCATTGAAGCTGTACATCCTCCCATCAAATGTTACAAAGTGTGGGTCACCAGATCCCTGAGCTAGAATGATAATAATGAAGAGAAATAAAATTGTAATAATATTAATAATAATATTAACAAAAAGTAATAACGATATGAATAATAATAATAATAATAATAATAATAATACTATATGGTTATTAATGGTTATTAATAATAATGTAGTGTGTTCTTCTGCTACCACAATTATTGGATTCAAATACGTCAAAATCTGCAAGATCGTCAACAAATGGTGAAAGACCGTAACAGATCTGTGATTAATATAGGTATGTTGTGGAGTGTATAGACTAATTGCATTTTTGTTTTTTATTTTATTCAATATATATATATATATTTATATAGGCCTTGACCTAGATTTATATAGACTAGGTCTAGGCCTAGACCTAGTCTATATATTTTTTTTTTCTGGCAATTTTCTGAATTGGATGACGAGCGCGCGCCTGCCTGCACCCATGCCCACCATCGGTATGCACTTGTATTGTGCAGTGGTTTGTCGTGAATTCTGTGAAAAAGTGTAGATTTATACTAATAATAATAGGTCTAGGGTAGCGCGCCCAGTATTCGGTCAATTCCCAGTATTCGGTCAGACAGCCGTTTCAACAGCTGTAACAATTAAAAAAATAATTTATGAGCCACGAAACTTGCACAAATCAGGCAGCTGAACAATTTTTCTTAACTCTCAAAATTAAATCAGATTTAGGGCCCCGGAAAGATCTCCAACTTAGCTCGAAATTGGTCAGTGTCGCACAACTTTCCGCACTTCCGCGTTCTCTTAGCACATGCGCTAACATGCATAGCCATATGTAGAAGTCTATTGCGAAACAACTACGTGTGCAGTCACAATGAATTTAGTATGTGTGTGGAGAGAATCACTTCCGTGTTCGCTCCATTGCAGCGAATTTGCAAATGACGCACTTGCCGATGTGCAAGAGGTATTTATACGATACCCTTGCCATGCGGTATCGCTCGGCCAGTATTCGGTCAACGCATTGACATTCAGTGCTTTATCGCGCAATTGTGTGAAAACAGTGCGCAAATACGCTACGCTCCTTTGCAACAGAGATACCAGGCACAAATTGCGTGACCGAATTCTAATCGGCGCGACCGAATTCTGGGCAGAAAAATGCTCCGTCTTCTTTCGGAAGTATTTTGCTTATCATTATTCTATATTTTAAGTGACTATAAAATCCTGTTAGAAGAATAAATTTCTTATCTTTTGATGGGTAGATTGCCAAACAAATGAGGTAAGAATTCAAAATATTAGTGATTTCCCCTTAAGTGACCGAATACTGGGCACTCTACCCTAGTCTAAGTTAGATCTAGAATGTTTTTTCCGAAAAATACTCCTCAAAAAACAAGAAAATTTACACGAAACAGGTAAGAAACACAATGATTTTCAAATCATGATCTTTATTTGGACATTCAATGAATATTTACTTTATTTTTGGTATGTTTTTAGTAGAGTATCTCCACGCCGGGGTTACGGGCCATATTTTGGATAGGTTTCTGAACAAGCGCCGGATATACTCGCCATGATGATGAACATTAAAATTATCAAAACAGTGGGACAGACTAACATGACACTGTTATTAATGCGTGGGGCTGGGCTTACTCACAGATTTCACAGGAAAGTACATCAACACTCACAAAAAACTGCGTGACGTGAGCGCATGGACCTTCTAGTCACCATCAAAGTGAAGCGTTCCGTACACAATTAGACCAAGACGAGAGATGCATCATTCCAGTAATTTAGATGGGTTTATTCAAGGTTATAGGTCTAGTCTAGACCCTCTAATTTCTATCGAGTATTGTTGATGACGGTATTGTTTTGCCCCTAGATGGCGCTATGGCAGCATGACAGTAAGGATACTCCACTAATATTAAAGGTAATGCAAAGTTTTGGGAAATTTTGAAAATTGGATGGATAGTAATTCTGTTTTGCCCCCAGATGGCAGCATGACAGTAAGGATAGGCCTATATACTCCACTAAAAGACAAATTTATACAGTGAAACCAATTCATGAAGATCAGTAAAAAAAAAAAAAAAAAAAAAAAAAAAAAAAAAAAAAAAGGAGATATTTACCAAAAGCGGTCTTTATTAAAAGGCTATTTCGTTGTATTCATCACTGACATTTCGACACTTTAATGATCATGTACAATTATTTTTTTAATTTTTTTTTTCTATGAGCAATACAATGTATTATACTGCTTTGGAAATTGACTCAAAATTTGCTGTGCATTTTCTATTTCTGCTCATGTTTAATGTGTACGTAATTCCTATACTTGATTTACAAAAAGCAATCTGAATCAGAATATATTTTTCAAAAATTTCCAAACAGAAACAATGAACTGCTATATGGGTTAATTATGATTGTCTTAATAGACAAAGAACTCACCACCATTGGGAGGGTTGTATCCGTCACAGCTTGCCTGTGGGCGACGCTCCTCATAAAGATCACAATATCCCTCACTCAGAATAGCCCTTTCACAGCACATTTGTCTAGGTACAACGTCCTCACCTAAAACATTAAATGGATTTCAGGATAATTTATTATTAAGCAGTCCTTTACAGTGTACCAATCATCAAAAATGTGTTCTTATGTGTGTCAGTAAATCCTTGTGTTGATGATATATATTCAAAATATGGGTTTCAAATATTACTGTATAAAATAGAGATTGACACAACCTTCAACATCGACGCACCTGCATAAAAAGCTATTTTGTTTATATAGTAGGATGTAGAGCAATTGAGTTGCTCGTATAGAATCGTCTTTAATTGCTTGTTCACATACCCACTCTTAATCCTAACGCTGAACCTCAACCCTAAATCTTTTACCCCAAATGTAACCCGAACCCTCACCCGAATCTAAAATCACAATTGTATTACATCATCAGACACCAGTACTAACATTTGGTTATTGGAGAAGAATGGTTAATTACTGAGAGCATGAATAATTATGAGGTGGTGGTATATTCGTTGTATTCTTCCAACTTGCCACTGGATCAATAACAAGAGGACACGATTTCAAGATTGTTAAACAACGTTTTAACACAAGACTTAGGCAGTATAGTTTCTCAATAAGGAGTGTAAACAATTGGAATGCCCTGCCTAAGGAAGTAGTCAATGCTACCACCATTAACCAATTCAAGTCATCCCTAGAAAGGTATTGGAGAAACAATCCAATAAAGTTTGAACCATACTTGAGACGGGAAGCAACAGTAAAGAGGGACAAATAAGCGAAGCTTCCAGTCTCTACACCCAAGTATACCCAAGTAAGTAAGTAAGTAAGTATATAGCCGTATTTAGTCGACCGTCACTAGCAAATCTGTGACAAATTCACGTCCCGCAATTAGCTTGAACCCAAGTCTGACTAAAGCTATAGTCAGCAGCTTTATGCTTAGTTTCTTCATGCACTTGACTGTACTTCTATTTTGTTAGCCCATAGCATGCAGGTGATGTGTTTTTTTAGGTTTGATTTTATACATTGTAGCTAGACACAAATTATCTTTAAGGTGATTGGTATTTACTGTTTGCTAATGTGAGGCATAAACAGTATAATATTGAATATAATGTAGAATACATATATACATGAAAGTTAATATGCTTAGCACTACAATGTATTGAGCTTCTCCAGGCATATCAGCTCAATTATTATGTTAACCAAATGATTGGTGAAAGGCAGCCACATGTGATTCATTTATTTAGATTATCACATATCTATATACCGGTATATACATATAATATGAATATAGGAGTGACATGTATAATGTAGAGAGAGAGAGAGAGAGAGAGTGAATGGAGGGGGCGAGGGTACTCAGATTTTGTTTGGACGGGGGTGTGACTCTCAAGCTCAAAACCGTATCCATTTTCATTAGTCATTTTGGCAGAAAAAAATACAAATTTGTAATGATTTTTCTCGAAATTTAGGTCAAATTTTTACCTGCAAACACTGACAATTTTGGAACAACGGACCCATGTTAAGCTACATTTTTATTAAAAACGGAATCCATGTTTAGGGATTCTTTATTGAAAAAACTAAATCATTAGAGCGACATATCCCCATATGTCTTAAACATATGTGAGTACCTAATATCGATTGACGACTGATCACTGACTGATCAGATCTCTAATGCTTGACGACTATATCCCAGCGTTTTGATGAAAGTGGGGATTTTTAACAACTTTACATTTTCTACAGGCTGATATTTCCAAACATATAAATGAAACTTACTTTTCCATTCATCATATGGATCGTCATATCTTCTTCGAGATCTGGGAAGTAAGAGTGCATGGAAATTGCTGGATTCCCATAGGTTCTGGTAGTCTGTGACTAGAGCACCACTAATATAGGTACAGCGGAAACCCTCATCACCATCCGTGGTTGACTGGAAGCATTGCACTGAATCTAAGCGGGCGAAGGGGGTTGGGAATGGGTAATGGAGGGGGCAGAATGTGGAGAAGGGAATATGGAAGGGGTAGGGTGTAGGGAAGGGGTTAGGAGGGATTGGGGGTTGGGAGGGATTGGGGGTTGGGAGGTGTCGGGGAATAGGTTAGGAAGGGGGTCGATAAGATGTACAAGTAATAAGGCTAAAGCCACGTACATGTACATTGAGATGAACCCAAACGTTTAAATAAATAATGAAACTTGTATGTTTGTTACAATAACTATAATGATATCATGAAAGAGTTTCATCAGGATGGTTCTAATAATGATTTTAAATTTCTGTTATCACATCGAAACAGTTTGTTAAATTTTCCTTTTAAAGAACTTTAAAATCATTATAATTGAATCCTAATGTTAATCTCTGTGAGCAGTAACATTTACATGAAAAACTGAAATAATTTCCTCTTTCGGAAAAAATAAGGAAAAGTTAAGTCTTAATATATATGTCATGTATCAATATTATGGCTTCATGTGTTTATATAAAGCTGAACGAAAATTTATAAAAAAACAGTTCTCTCACAGCACGACTTTAACATATAAATTATTATTGAATTGAATGTCGATTTCAACAACATAATATACACACTAATTTTAATGATATATAATTTTGGGGGGTTTAAAAGTTGCAAACAATAATTCATCATGCTAGGCAGCAATTGCTGTTTATGTTTGAGGTCAAAGAGGCAATATTTATAGCAAACATCAGTCATCTTGGGATATTTTCGAGCTTACTATAACTAGCACTGCTGAAATCAGGATCGTTGCCCCTTGGAAAAGTACATCTTCTGAAGTTTACGTCTCTTCTAGCTTGTCTCCTCGAACAAGGGCACACAGATGCATCGGAATAGGTGTAGGTGACGCTGAGGTCATTCTCATACCAGATCAGACACTCAACACATGGGTTGACAAAATCGGCACCATTGAGGTCTAGGCGATAAGTGTAGCTGCCCTGAGTATACAAATGTCACACAACAACAAGTTTAAAGTAAACTGATCATTAATACACAAACTATACTCCATGTAAGATATGACTTGACATCACCTCTTAACACAAAATATAATATTGTGAAACACATTTTGTGTTAATCTGCATATTGTAAAAGGGTAATAATAATAATTATGGACATTCCTATATTTCACAGACCTAACTAACTGGATCACATGTGATTTCTGCAAAGGTACTGGTGACCAAATTTGTATTCCGTATTCATCTCAGGTTTGTTGTTTATTTAAAGTGTATCAATCAGAGAAAAAGCATTTTATAATGTAGCATTAAAATAAAATATCATTGCTTCCAATTAACGAACATCTCAATTAAGCCCTCAATAAACCCTTGTCCCGAAAGTGCTAAACAGATAAGAACAGCTTACCATCTGACCCGTATTTCCTGTGACCAAGTCTCGTCGATAACTATTATATTTAGTGTCCTGATCAGTATCTTCATACAGATTCATTACATCGTCAATGTTACTGTATCCCACTCGTGCTGGTAATGGTTTTGATTGAGTCAGCCATTGAAGGTCTCCTGCCTGGTAGTTCATCATTACACCTGTCTGTTTGCCATCGGTGAAGACCACAGCCTGGTAGGTGTTTGTCTATGTAATAAATAATAATGATAATAGCTACATTTATTTTGCGCAAGTACTATCCTAGGGGTGCTCAATGCACATACAATGTACTATGATTACCCTGGCTTCGGTCTAGCTGCCCTCAGGCGCTAAAACATTCAACAATAATTCCTACCAAGTACCTATTTACTACACCTGGATGGAGAGTGACAAATGCAGATAAATGTATTGCCAAAGGAAATTATTAGTGGGGAGGGACTTGAACTGCGAACCATATCTTAACCACAGCAGGGTAATCGATATATCCACTAGACACAGTTTATCCCATGGGAAATCAGATTAAACATGAGCATTTTAGTAAAAGAGAAAGTCATTTACTGTTTTAAAAATTATTAAAGAGAGTTGAAGTTCTGATAAAGGAGAACAATAACATTCAATAAGTTTGTTGTTACATCGTGTGGCTGGGTAGTCCTGAAATAGACTATTTGGTTTGAAAGGATATATAAAAGAAAAAGAAAGTGAGGGAGCAATATTCGTTTGGTTTTGTCTCATATAGGATTATCTGATATGGTTGGGAGAGAAGTAGAGACAAATAGGAGAGAGAGTCTTATTTTCGTCACTGACGTCTAGAAAAGACTGGTGGACCGGGTTATGAATGCAAAGAGAGAGAGAGAGGGCGCGCGAGGCTCGAAGTCCCAGACGCGGGTTTGATAATTGTTCTTTATCACTCTTACAAACGGTCAACCTGTACTCAACCTCTATAATATGGCACAGGAAAAGACCAAACACCAAGACCTCGCACAGTGGATGACTCACTTAAACTATAGGGGAAACTGAATAAAAATCTGTGATTATTGATAAAGGTCAACATGCTTATGGCAATTTCTATAAACGTGATTGCTAGCCGAACCACAGGAACCATGTTTGAGTGAAACGAATTTGACTTATCATTCAAGCATGTATTTTCTCTGAATTTCCAAATATCATGCATACACACAAAGTCAAAAGGAAGTGACACCACCTCGCCTGTACATGTTTCTATTCTTACCTCCTGTCCCGGTTGTGATCCAGGGGGCTGAATACCTTCCCAAGTGATCTTCAACGCTACTATTGGATTCATTTCACTCAGTTCCAAGTCTGTCTTGTTTAGTCTGCTCTTTAAGGCTTGAAGAAGGGATCCTCCATTGTTATCTGATAGGTCATACTCATCTTGAAGCTAGAAAAAGTTAATATATGTGAATAGAAATAAAGAAGTTTAATATTACGTTAAAAAAGAAAATCTTGGATGAAATATCACATTCTGATATTTTACACGTTTACACTTTGAAGGCTTACATTAAGATGAGCTTATATATTATATAGTAATTGGTTTGCTACCAATAATGGCATCAGGCAAAGTTGTTTAATTTCACCCACCATGTTCAATATATTCTTGGAACATACCATTACAGAGTAAGCCAGCAAAGGTGGATTCCCTTACAAAAAAGTACCATGGTAACCATGGTTTTTTGGTCCAAATTACCATCCACCATGGTAACCATGGTAATATCAATCTGGGATTTGCCGATGACATCGACCTAATTTTTGGAATACCATATGTTCCCTTACAAAATTAGAAAAAAGTAATTTTGGCATGAAAATCAGTGCTGATAAAAGCAAGACCCGTAAGATGGGTTCTGGTGAGAATCTAACAGTTAAGATTGAAAGAGAATAGCTTGATACCATTGATCAATTCAAATATCTAGGATCAACTGTAACAGAGGGTGCAAGAAAGTCAAAATCGGAATTGCGGTGGCCACATCTCCCCTTGCAAGTCTGTAACCAATGAAATTTTTGTCAGTTGCAGGATATGCCGATCCGACATCAAATTTGGAGAATGCGATATCTCCATAATTCTTAGACAGTAAATGTTGGAGTTGCACCAATTTGTAGTCAAAGACTTTGCAGTCCATTTGGTAATAACTAAATAAATTTGTGTAAAATATGAGATATCATGGATCGAATATCACATCTCCTTGTATTTAAAAAAAAAATCAGCAAACTTTGGTCACCCCATGATACACGTATATCATAAGTTGTTGCATTAACGTTGCAAAGTCTTCTAAGTGAGCCCCCGCCCGGAATAGACCGGGCAGTGTTTCACAGAACTGTCATAAGTACCAGTTCACCGACATCCAAATGAAATATGAGTATTATAATTAGCACGTACTTCAGTGGTATGTCGTTGAACTTGTCCATATTTCAGTTCGTTAAACTATGAACAGTTTAGTAATTTTATTCAAACTCTTTAAACAAAAGTTTCTCTTAACCACTCAAATGCTTGCTTTAGGATAAAAAGTATAGCAGCAACTATAAATGGAAAGTAGACATCCATATAAATACTGTAAAGACATTGTAGAATGTAATAATTATCAGAGGCGGCGGACCCGGGGGGGGGGGGGGCAGGGGGGGGGCACAGTGCCCCCCCCCCCAACTTTTTCAAGTACCCAAAAAGTGCCCCTTTTTCCATGGGAAAAGTGCCCCTTTAACTTTGTAAGAAGCGCCCCTTTTTACATAAAAAGTGCCCCTATTACTTTGATATGTGCCCCTGTTAATTTTTAAAAGTGCCCCCTCTCCTTTCCACCTCTGATATGCGCCCCTTTTATTTTGACACGTACCTCTTTTCCCAGACAAGTTCCCAGTTTCCTTTGCAATAAGTGTCTATTTTCCATTCTCATAAGTGCCCTTTTTAATCTCTAGTAAGTGCTTCTTTTCGGATACGAGAAGCGCCCCTTTTCACTTTTGTTAAGCGCCTCCTTCACCTCTGATAATTGCCCTATTCAAATCTTTTACGTGCCCCTTTTACTTTGACAATTGCCCCTTTTCCTTTGTAAGAAGTGCCTCTTTCCCTTTTAATAACTACCTGTTTTTAACTCGGATAAGCGCACCTTATATTTTCACATGTGCCCCCTTTTCTTTCTAATAAGTTCCCCTTTTCCTTATGATAAGTGCCCCCATTTAACAAAGAGCCCTTCGCCTTTTCATAATTGCCCCTTTTTACCTATGAAAATAGTCCTTTTCATTCTCCTACTAGTGCTCCTTTTCATGTCTGGTAAATGACCCTATTCAATTCTGAGAGACAATCGTTTTATTTTGACAAGTGCCCCCTTTTCCTCCTGATAAGTGCTCTTTTCATCTCTAATAACACCCCTTTTATTTTGACACGTGCCCCCTTTCCTTCCTAATAAATGCTTTTTTTCCTTCATAATTTCCGCTTTTCATAAAAGCCCCCTTTCACCTCCAATAAATGCCCCTATCGAAATCTGATCGGTGCTCCTTTTCTTTCAGCAAATGCACATTTCCCTTTATTATTAGTGCCCCTTTTTCATTCTCATAAGTGCCTCTTTCATATATGGTGTTTGCCCCTTTTCATGTGCGATACGTGCCCCTTTTCACCTCTGATAATTAACCTTTTTTAACAATGATACGTGCCCCTTTTCCTTTCTTATGAGGAACCTATCCCTTTATTATAAATGCCCCTATTCAAATCTGATGGTTGCCTCTTTTCCGTCGACAATTGCCCAATTTCCCTTCTCATGAGTGCCTTTTCATCCCTAGTGAGTGCCCCATTTTCACCTCTGATAATAACCCTTTGTACTTTGACACGTGCTCCTTTTATTTTCTAATAAGTGTCTTATCCCTTCGATAAGTGTCCCCCTTTCCTCTCATCATTAAACGTGCCCCTAATTTCAAGCGACTAAGAGCAATATCTCCCAAAGCTCGCTCGCTACGCTCGCTCACATTTATAGATGTTATAATTATGTTACTTATCAAAGGTCTTTTCAGTTTGCTGTTATGAAAATGTGCTTATTTATAACCCGATGAGGATTGGTTTTTTCCTCTTTATAAGATGTAGTTTTCGCACTGTGACCTCACAGATCTTATATTTTTCCTCGCTCGCAAATTATTTTTTTCGACCATCACACCCAACTGCAAGGTATGATGCTTTAAAAAGCAATATTTTATACGATGTATAAAGAGAAACAAATATTGAAATCATCCCTGATAATGTAATCAAATTTTAGGGGTATATACCAATGTCTAAAAATTGTTTATTTTCGCTTTGAGATTTCCCTTTGTAGGTGCCCTTTTTCCCCAGAAAGTGCCCTTTTTTGTTGGTGCCCCCCCCCACTTTGGAAGTCGCTCCGCCGCCTCTGATAATTATAAATTATATGTTAAAGTACTGAGACACTAAAGCAGTGTAATGGCATTCAATCTACCATCAATATCATTATCATTACCATTCTGGTAATCACCAACCATCATATTTTACTATCAACCAGCGTCTTTTACTATCATTATTATCATGATCATCATCAGTATAGCCCCCCAAATT